TCTTTTTTATGGCTGAGTAGTATTCCATTGTGTGTGTATATATATATTTTGTCCAGATATATGCCCAGGAGTGGGATTGCTGGATCATATGGCAACTCTATTTTTAGTTTTTTGAGGAACCTCCATACTGTTTTCCATAGTGGCTGCACCAGTTTACATTCCCACCAACAGTGTAGGAGGGTTCCCTTTTCTCCACACCCTCTCCAGCATTTGTTATTTGTAGACTTTGTAATGATGGCCATTCTGACTGACGTGAGGTGGCACTTCATTGTAGTTTTGATTTGCATTTCTCTAATATATGATTAACGATGTTGAACGTCTTTTCATGTGCCTGTTGGCCACCTGTATAGACATCCTGACTTTTATTTATTTATTTATTTAAAAACTGAATTTATTTATTTTATTTATTTATTTTTGTTTGCATTGGATCTTCTTTGCTGCATGTGGGCTTTCTCTAGTTGCGGTGAGCAGGGGCTACTCTTTGTTGCGGTGCGTGGGCTTCTCATTGTGGTGGCTTCTCTTGTTGCAGAGCACGGGCTCTAGGCACATGGGCTTAGTAGTTGTGGCGTATGGGCTTAGTTGCTCCGCGGCATGTGGGATCTTCCCGGACCAGGGCTCGAACCCACGTCCCCTGCACTGGCAGGCAGATTCTTAACCACTGTGCCACCAGGGAAGCCCCATCCTGACTTTAAAATTCATAAGATTTCCTAAGTAATTTTCAGATAAGAAGGAGTGACAGTGTTTCAGTTTGCTTTGAAAGTTAATCCTTGAAGTTTTCATTTGATAGAACTTGTGATAAATTAAAAGGTTGACAATGATGAGTGGACTCTTGTCCTCCTTTTTGTCTTTTCCTTTCTTTCTGCCTCACTGCTACTACCTTTGTTTCAGATTTCTTCTCGGGGCACCGTCTTTGCTATCCCTTTTGGTTCTTGTTGGAGCATGTAGAATTGCTAGGAGTGGCTTAGTCATTTCTGTAGGTGGAACAAGGATTAACCCAGCTGTGTTATTCGTGGTAGCCAGAATTAAGTACTTTGATTAACACAAGTTAATTGAAGGGCTCTAAGTGTTTTGATAGATTCAGAAGTGCTTAGTTTTTCTAAAACTGGGTAATAACTTTATTGATATAGAAAAACACAAGTAGTTTTTGGTGGTTGAAAAGGGATCTTTTAATGACCTTAAGATAAGGCTTGTGTAGTTTTTTAAAAAATTTATTTTACTGAAGCATAGTTGATTTACATGTCATGTTAATTTCTGCTGTACAGCAAAGTGATTCAGTTATACATATATATACATTTTTCATATTCTCTTCAATTACAATTTATTACAGGATATTAAATATAGTTCCTTGTGCTATACAGTAGGACCTTGTTGTTTAAGGCTTGTGTAGTTTTTGAAAACATTTGAAAATTCAAGTTAGACTGCATGCAGGTAGTTCCAGCAATGCATATAGCACCGTTGAAGTGACCACAGTTAGACATTTGAGCTGTGTACCCAGAGGCAGACAGCTATGTCACGACTGCCCCCTGGTGACAGAGATGAAAAGATGCTATAAACTGTAAAATGCTTCCTGATTTTAGGGGTGTTAAAATGCAAACAAAATGTGTGTTTTAGAATCAGTGCAATGTGGTAAATGAGATAGAAGGAAAACATCAGGCTTTTCTGGCTCTGAGTCTGTGAGAGTGGAGATAGTTAAAGCAAAATCTTTTAAGAGTAATCCTTGGAAAACTAAGGTGCTGTGACATTCTGTCTTTTTGTGGTGGTCTACATATCCTAGGCCAGTTTAAATGCCAGAGGAGCTGAATTCTGTGACCTGAGAATCTGTATCAAGGATAGCACTCTTTCTGGTTTTTCCTAATAAAAACAGAATTCACTAGGTGCTCGGAATAGCAAAGTGAAGCTCTAGGCAGAATTAAGAATAGTGTTGCTCTAAGTACTAAAAAAAAAAACAAAACACAGATATGTTTTCTTATCTCTTTTTCATCCCACCCTCCCCTGCCATGCTTTTTCCTGCTATCCCCTTAGTGGATGCTTATGTTGCCAAACTCTCCAAAGACCCTCACCCAAGCCTGGTCTTCTTTGCAGTGTCTTAGGTTTATTTTTCTTTAATACTTACTTTTAAACAACTTTATTAAGGTATAATTGATATACAATAAGCCGCATTATTTAAAGCTTACAGTTTGATGAGTTTTGACATATGTATACACCCGTGAAACCGTCACCACAATCAAGACGATGAATGTGTCACTCTCAGAAGTTTCCTCTGCCCTTTGTCACTCTCTCGTCCTCCTTGTCTCCTATAACTATACACACCTCAGTAGGACACTCTGGAGAAAAGAGGAAAGCTGTTTGATTTAATTCATACTATCTTGTAAGGCTTTCCCTCCCAGAATAATTTTCATTTTAAAAGATTAGATGCATGTTATGATTTTCTTGGTTACCTTAAGGCAGATTTAGTCTTAAAAATATACCCTCTACCTTTTCAGGAAAAAAAAAAAAAATCCCCTTAGACATAGGGAAGTCCTGATTTGAAAATAAGGTTGCGCTACTTGGAGGCTTGTTTGAAATCTGTATGAACTTATTTTCTCACCTAAAAAACCAATAGCTTTCTTCAACAGCTGAACATTTCAGTAGACAAGGAGTATATTAAGATGGAATTCTTGGGCAACAGTGAAGGTAAACATATTAAGGTACAATTTGATCGTCTGTTCTGATTATTTACCTTGGTTTGCTGAGAGTGGGTTGTGGATATTCCCCAGGTACCGAACCCAGCCGTTCTCAGGCTGGGTGAGGTTTGGTGTACCCCTCACCTCAAGCAGCCTCACTGGGTTGGTTACCCCAGCGGACTCTTCAATTATTGTAATTTCCTTTAGTCTGGAGCAATGTCAGGAAACACGGAAGATCATCTCTGATTCAGGATACTAACAAAAGGGGACTTTTAAATTGCTATATAAGGTGTTCAACTCTCTCCTATTTGTGGGCCTAAAAATAGCACCTTTAGCTAAGGTTTTTTGTGCTTATTATGGAAATCATTTCTAAAATAATGCTTTTTACCTGGTACAAATGAAGTTAGGAACTTTTCAAATTTCACATAGCATATAGGACAGTGCTAGTATTTATAGTAGGTGTAATAAGTGTGGTGGAGATGAGACAGTATTTGCAATGTATGAGATGCAGAGAAAAGTACTGCATTATTTCCTTAAGTAATTACTACTGAATTTAGAAAATGTATAATATACTGTGGGCTCAGGGATAGATTGATTTTTAAAAATGCCAGTTTCAATGATCTGAAAAATTAGTTGTTTTTCACAGGATATGTTAAATTTTTTTAAAAGTACCATATTTTGGATTAAGTGTTATATGTTTTTCTGATATTAAGTTAAACAGAGACCTTATAATGAATTCATCTAATCTAATCATATTTTTTATCGCAGGAGGTGGTGAGAAAGCCCGAGCACGTCACATATCAAGAGGAAAACTGTTACCAAGAGAAAGAGTTGACAATCTTATAGACCCAGGGTTGGTACATACCCAAGTGCTGGCTCAGGGTGTTCTCTATTCCATGGTGCTTTCTTAGACAGTTTTTTTTGTTTTTGTTTTGTTTTGTTTTTTGGCCGTGCCACATGGCTCGTAGGATCTTAGTTCCCCAACCAGGGATTGAACCCAGGCCCTCAGCAGTTACAGTGCAGAGTCCTAACCACTGGACTGCCAGGGAATTCCCGTCTTAGATAGTTTTATAAATAAATGATTTTAAATTCTGGTTCTTATCGTAAGATTCAACAACAGATGTTTATTGCGAGGCTACTATGTGTCAGGTGCTGTTCTAGGTGCTAGTGATACATCACTGAACAAAATAGACAAAGTTCCTTGCCCTACTGGAATTTACATTGTAGCAGGAGGAGACAGAAAATAAACGATAAGTGTCATAAATTATATAGTATGTTAGAAGGTGATAAATGTCATGGGAAAAAGAAAAGATAGACCAGAGTACGGGAGAGAAAGATGAAGGTCAAGTTGTAGTTTCAAATGAGTTGGTTAGAATAGGCCTCATTGAGGTGGTGACATTTGAGCAAAGATTGGAAGGAGTGAAGAGAGATGGGCTCTAAATATCTGGGGAGAGAGCGTTGCAGGCGGAGGGGAGTGGCCAGTGTGAAGGTTCTGCGGTGGGGGCAGGTCACAGATGCTGATATGGAAGGGACTGGAAGGTGGTGGGGTGGCAGGAATGAACAAGGGAGTAGCAGGAGATGGGTGATTTCGGTAAGGGTTTCGTAGGCCAGTGTAAGAGTTTGGGCTTTTACTCTGACAGAAATGGGGAGATTTTGTAGGGCTTATCTGACTTAGGTTTTAAAAAGTTATTCTGGCTGTTGTCTTGTGAGTAGACTGTGGGCCTTGAGGGTGGAAGCACCAAGACCAGTTAGAGAGAGGGACTTCCCTGGTGGTGCAGTGGCTAAGACTCTGGGCTGCCAATGCAGGGGCCCGGTCAGGGAACTTAGATCCCACATGCCGCAACTAAGACCCAGCGCAGCCAAATAAATAAATAAATAAACAAACAAATAAATAAATCATAAAAAAATAAAAGACCAGTTAGAGAGAGAAATGAAGGCTCACAAGTATTGTTTCGGGGGACATGCACACAGACGCCCAACCTGGAGACAAACACCGCTAACACCTAGTGTGTATCCTTCTATACTGTTTTTATGCAAATGTGAATCACTTTTTTTTTTTTTTTAAAGAAAAATGGAATCATACTAAATTTGGTGTTTTATAACTCCCCGCCCGCGCCTGTCCCCTGTCCCCCCAGTGTATCCTGAACATTTAAGTGAGAATAATACAGTGGTTAAGAGCCTGGTCCCTTATTACGGAGCTTATTAAAACCCAGCTCTGCCACTTACTAGTAGTTGTGTGACCTTAGACAACTGACCTAATCTCTGTGTTTCAGTTTCCTCATCAGTCAGTGGGGATCGTAATAGGATCCATATCAGGAGGTAGTTCTGAGGAATGAGTGAGTTAGTGTTTCTGAAGCTCCTAGGAGAGAGGCTGGCATGTGGTAGGTGCTACGTAAGTGTTAGGTGCTATTCTCTTTCTATATTAATAAACACATCTGTACAACATCTTTAAAAATAAGAACCTAGTGTTCCTTTGTATGGCTATACTGTATAAATCCCCAGGATGGTCACACTATATTTTTTTCTTTTAAATTTATTTTATTTCTTTATTTTTGGCTGCATTGGGTCTTCATTGCTGCACGTGGGCTTTCTCTAGTTGTGGCGAGCGGGGGCTACTCTTTGTTGCGGTGCGCAGGCTTCTCACTGTGGTGGCTTCTCTTGTTGCGGAGCACGGGCTCTAGGCACGCGGGCTTCAGTAGTTGTGGCGCACCGGCTTCAGTAGTTGTGGCTTGTGGGCTCTAGAGCGCAGGCTCAGTAGTTGTGGCACACAGGCTTAGTGGCTCCGTGGCATGTGGGATCTTCCTGGACCAGGGCTTGAACCCATGTCCCCTGCATTGGCAGGCGGATTCTTAGCCACTGCGCCACCAAGGAAGTCCCCTAGATTTTGTTTTTGACTTTCTTTTTGTAGATTTTATGTCCAACACGCATATTTAAAACATTGCCCATTAAAGAAGAAAATTTCCTTTTCCACGTGTTAACTGTTTAAATATGATTTTTTGAAAAACGACATTAATTCAAGCAACATCTTTTCTTCCGTTCAGGTCTCCATTCCTGGAATTATCCCAGTTTGCCGGTTACCAGTTGTATGGTGATGAGGAGGTCCCCGCCGGTGGCATTATTACAGGCATTGGGAGAGTGTCAGGGTGAGTATTCTGCCCACGCTCAGCCATGTGGTTCAGGAAGCAGGCCGAAGAGGCAGGGTGTCCAGCACTCACTGCTCTGCATGTGAGCATGTGAGTTTTATGCTCGTGATATTATTTAGGACTGAGGCTTCCTACCCAGACATGTGTTAGATTCATCTGTGGAGTGTGTGCATTTTAGCTCTTGAGATTCCATGGAGGCAAGGGCCAGGGCAAGACTGATTTTATCTTTCCACTAGAGCTGCTCTAGTGTTGGATAGTATGACTGAAAAAGAATTCACTCGTTTAAAAGGTCTAAAGTAGTACTTCATAGTAATTGAAGTTGACCTTTCTTACGTGATCATATGGTTGAATATGGTCAGCACTCTTTCTCTGGCAGATGATAGATGTGCAAACTAGTTAAAACCAAAAAAGAATTTATTGACTCTCTTAACTGATGAGTCTGGGCCTATCTGGGTCGAGGAGCACAAACAGTGTTACCAGGTCACAGGCTGGGTTTTGGTTTTGTTCCTAGGCAGGCCGAGCTGGCCACAGGCATCCCCAGCTTCTACGCTCTAAGCTTAGCAGCTGCAGTGGACTGAGAGCTCTTGAGGGTGAAGGCCTGGGACTAGAGCCCATTGTTGAGCCCACGGGCGTGGACGCTGAGTAGAAAGGCCTGGTCCTTGTGCTCACGTCTGAAGATGGGCTTTGGGGTCAGTCCCGCTAGAACCTCAGGGATCAAAAATAGAGAAAGGGCAGTTTCTGAAAGAAAGTTTAGTTTTGTTGCCAAAATAATAGATGCTGGGTAGGCAAAACCAATAGATGTCTAATACAGTATTTTTGTGGACTAATTTTATTTCTCATTCTGTAACGTCTGTGACCTTTTAAAAAGACGAGTAAAAGTGGTTATGTCTCTTGTCCAAGGTCGTATATATAGCAAGTGGCAGAGTCAGAATTTCAGCCTAGCTTTGTCTGACTTCATAGCCTGGGCTCTTTCCTGTACCAGAGCTTCTTAAGCTTTTCTAGTGCAGCATCCCCAGGACGGAGGAGTGACCATACTCTGGAGGTGTGGGGGGTATGGCCCAGCACCCGCCAAAGCCTAAATTCCTTTTGAAGTCTAGTTTGTTCAATGTTAAAGTCATTAGAAATGTACATCCCACTCTATAAAATGTTAATTATAATGTGGAAAAAGGCTTTATCTATAACCTAGTGAATAAAATTGATGCTCAAAGGAGAGGAGCCACATACCCTAATAAAAGAAGTACAACACTACCTGAGGCTGTGTGCTCAGTTGCTGTTCTCTACTTCATTTTCAGCAAGGATTCAATGAGTTTCTTTTTCGAATTCTAGAGAATATAAAGTGAGGTAGCAAAAACATCATAAATATAAAGGTTAAATTTTGTAAAGACCACACTGTTGTTCTCTCCAGTTTCAAGTGAACCTCTGATCTTCGGGTTTCCTGGCAATACTAAGAAGGCTCCCTTACTGGCCCTCTTCATTCACTTCCCTGCTTCTTGCGTGTTACTTGTGGGCCATGGTACCTGACAGGCTGGTTTTGGTGAGAAAGGGCACCACTAATGACTCATTATAGTATATGCTTTCAGACTACTATTTTAAAGTTTGTACCTATTGTTACTTTAACCAAGATAAGTGTTGTACTTTAAACTTCTTTTAGTTTTATAGCAAAGCATATGGCAGTGACGTGAAGAAAATATGAAAAATAAATACTTTTGATGGATCAGTTTTCCTTTTTGAAAATTACCTCCCTAAAAGGAAATTTTAAAGGTTTACCATGTGGGATTTTCTCACCCTGAGACTTGGATTCCTTGTTATTGTTGTTGTATTATCTTGTATTATCTAGTTAGGACCCCTTCCTTCACAGAACCATTACAAAATGTGGCTTAGGTTGTTAGTTTTCCTCTACTAATATGGGGTGATGATTCTTTAAAAATCAAGTTAGAGTTTGTAAACTTATTAAAAGTGATTCATTTTATATAAATAAATATGTGAACAGTGCTTAAAACTTTTATATCATAAGATTGTCTACTAATGGCTGTCCCTGGCGATATGTACTAGAAATTGCCAGGCTGTATTGGGAGTGTCTTGTAATGAGATGCAATTGGTCTTTACTTTGAAGAACTCTCTCATGTTCTCTTTCCGATGAAATTTCTGCCTTTCAGAGTAGAATGCATTATTGTTGCCAATGATGCCACTGTCAAAGGAGGTACCTACTACCCGGTGACTGTGAAGAAACACTTACGGGCACAAGAAATTGCGATGCAAAACAGGCTCCCCTGCATTTACTTGGGCAAGTCACGAGAATTGTAAAATAAACTGTTATTAGCTAGAAAAATAATAAGATTGTTTAGAAGGCTATATATATATGACGTTATCAATGGATATTTTAAAAAAACTGTTGGCTTCTCTTATAATTACAAAAGAGATGCACATTCTTTGCTAAAAACTCTGGGAGAAAAAGTAAACAAGCACTACCCATAATAACATCACTGAGGAAGAATCCCTGACAGTATTTTGGGGTTTGCCATTTTTTCTCTACATGAGTGGTGTTTTTTCCTTCTATATATTGGGTGGGCCAAAAAGTTCCTTTGGTTTTTGAGTAAAAATAAAAGACATTTTTCATTTTCACCAAGAACTTTATTGAACAATGTATTCACCATTTTGTTCCACTACCTTCTGCCATTTTTCAGGCAACTTCATAATTCCATCTTCCCAAAACTTTTTATTTTTTTAAGCAAAAAACTGTTCCAGGTGCTTTTTACAGTCTTCCAGGGAATTGAAATTTTTTCCATTAAGAGAATTTTATAAAAACCTAAATAAATGGAAATCCGAAGGTGCAGTGTCTGGTGAATATGGTGGATGAATCAGAACTTCCCAGCCAAGCTGTAACAGTTTTTGCCTGGTCATCAAAGAAGCATGGGGTCCTGCGTTATCCGGATGGAAGATTATACCTTTTCTGTTAACTAATTCGGGACGCTTTTCCTTGAGTGCTGCTTTCAGTTGGTCTAATTGGGAGCAGTACTTGTTGGAATTAATCGTTTGGTTTTCCAGAAGGAGCTCATAATAGAGGACTCCCTTCCAATCCCACCATATACACAAAATCACCTTCTTTGGATGAAGACCAGCCTTTGGTGTGGTTGGTGGTGGTTCATTTCCCTTGCGCCACGACCTCTTCCGTTCCACATTATTGTGCGGTATCCACTTTTCATCGCCCATCACAATTTGTTTTAAAAATGACATGTTTTCATTATGTTTACATAGAGAATCGCATGTAGAAGTACAGTCAAGAAGGTTTTTTTCACTTAACTTACGTGGAACCCAAACGTCAAAGCGATTCACATAACCAAGCTGGTGCAAATGATTTTCAGCACTTGATTTGGATATTTTGAGTATGTCAGCTATCTCTCGCGTGGTATAACACTGATTGTTCTCAATTAATGTCTCGATTTGATTGCTATCCACTTCAACTGGTCGACCTGACCATGGACTATCGTCCAGCAAGAAATCTGCAGCATGAAACTTCACAAACCACTTTTGACACATTTGATCTGTTGCAGTGCCCTCTCCATACACTGCACAAATCTTCTTTTGCATTTCAGTTGCGTTTTTACCTTTCTTGAAATAATAAAGCATAATATGCCGAAAATGTTGCCTTTTTTCTTCCATCTTCAGTATTAAAATGGCTACACAAAAATTGACCAATTTTGATAAGTTTTTTTTTTAAAATGCACTGCTGATATGACAGCTGTCACAATACAATCTAACAAAATTGTTTCGAATGAAGTTAAAGTCAACTAAGCACTAGTTAGAACCATGTTGTGGAAAAAAACGAATGAACTTTTTGACCAACCCAATATTTTGTTTTTCTGTTCACAATAATGGGTTCAAACCATGAAAAAATAATAGCTAATATATATGGGTCTCTTGAGTGCCAGGTACTAGGTTAAATGCTTGATTATGTACATAGTTTGAGCAGACATAATTTAAAGAAATTTAATATTCAGTGAAAGTAAATTTATATTTGGAATGAAAGTACATTTAAATCTAAGGATATTTTTAAAAAGACATAAAAGCAAGGCAGTTTAAAATTGGTACTTCCTGGATATTGGCTTAAATTGGTTTGTAAAAATGCCAGTATATACTGTTCATTTTTATGGATATTTGAACAGGTACTGATGAGATTTTTTTCTCCTATGAAAGTGAATTTACCTCGTTGATTCAGAGTGTGAACTGCATTGCACGTATAGAAAACAGCCAATGAGGCCCCACTGCTTGCAGGTGCTGTGCCCAACACTGTAGGGGATGCAGTGAAGAGTATTGTGTTGTCCCTGTCTTTGATGCATTAAATATCAATAGAAGACTTAGTGGTTGCAGGCAAGAGTGACAGGTATAAGACTAGCTAACTTTTTGTGGCGTTCACTCTGTGCACTCACAGTATGTGCTGAGCTGAGTGCTTCACATACACTATTTCATGTCATCCCAATTACAACCCTATGGGATAGCCACTGTTACCTTCATTTCACTGGTGGGGAGACCGAGGCAGTAGACTGGTTCGGAAACACACCTGTGATCACACAGCTGTGAAGTAAGGAAGCTCTGTTTTGAACTCAGCTGACATTCTTACCCACCACGGTAATCTGCAGTAAAAAAGAGTACCAGAGGCGACGTGCAATAAAATTATCACATGAATTCTGTAGATGATTTTCAGATTGTTTTAAAAGAGAGAAAGATCCAATTTTAGCTGAACTGGTTAAGGAGTTTTGGTGTTTCTGGGGCTAATCCTCAAGGGAGAGAATGTCCTAAACATTTCAAGTGGAATTCTGCACAGGGGTAGGAGAGCCTAATGTGTTTGAAGAAAACAGTACATTTTGGGGGGCTGTGTTGAAGGATTGGAGAAAGAGGCTGTAGAAGAGTTTAGAAAGATAGGGCAAGTTTTTTGCGAATGTAATTAAGAACTGATGTTTGGGCTTCCCTGCTGGCGCAGTGGTTGAGAGTCCGCCTGCCGATGGAGGGGACACGGGTTCATGCCCCGGTCCAGGAGGATCCCATATGCCGCGGAGCGGCTGGGCCCGTGAGCCATGGCCACTGGGCCTGCACGTCCGGAGCCTGTGCTCCGCAATGGGAGAGGCCACAGCAGTGAGAGGCCCGCGTACCGCAAAAGAAAAAGAACTGATGTTATCATTGAGATAAGTCTTCCTGTGTGTAGCATGTTTTGTTCATTGAGATGTACTTATTTCTCTTCAGTTGATTCGGGAGGAGCAAACTTACCTCGACAAGCAGAAGTATTTCCAGATCGAGATCACTTTGGCCGCATATTCTATAATCAGGCAGTTATGTCTTCTAAAAGTATTATACAGGTAATTTCTCATTAATGAGACGTATTGCTTCTTGCATCAAATGTCTTTGCTAACCAGGTATTCTGAGATGACTTAAAACAGAATTTGTTTTTTTTTTTTTTTTTTGGCTGTGCCATGCAGCTTGCAGGATCTTAGTTCCCTGACCAGGGATTGAACCCAGGCCCTTGGCGGTGAAAAAAGGAGTCCAAACCACTGGACCGCCAGGGAATTTCCAGAACAGAATTTAATACAAAATTTAGTCTTTTTCCACAGAAAGCATCATAAGGATATCTCCAGTCAGATTCATCTGCTAAATATGGGAATACTGTTATGCTATAATAAAGGTTATTTACCAAAGGAAAAGAGTTTTTAAAAAGAAAGAACACTGAGTAAAATTGCTTTTTTAGGACTATACTCTGGAGGAATTCTAGTATATGTATGAGGAGACATGTACAAGAAAGTTCCTTGTAGCATTGTTTGTTATAGCAAAAGTTAAAGAACAAAGTAAATGCCCATTCATAGGAGAGTTATAATAGTTACTAGCTGTTAAAATGAATGAACTAGAATTGTGTGCATCATCAGAAATAAGTCTCAAAAAATATGTTGGGTAAAAAAAAAAAGTGTAGAATAAATGTATAGCAAATTGCTATGTATGCAAGTGTTAAATATGTCAAATCTATTATGTATAAACAGGTACATGGGAATGATAGACTCAACTTTAGAACAGTGGTTACCTTTGAGGTGGGAGGGAGGAGGAGAATAAAGGCCAAGTAGGAGGTCTACAGAGGCTTCAACTGTATGTGAAATATTTTATTACTTTAAAAAAATTCAGAAGTAAGTTTGACCAAATGTTAAGATTTATTAAGACTGGGTATTAGGTAAAGAATATTTATTTTACTATTCTAATCTTTTTTGTATGTTTGAAATACTTCATAATACTGCTGCAACTCCTTTGTTTTTGTTTTGTTATTGAATTTCTTAAGTTTGTAGTATTTTTATTAGTATTCTAATTAATTAGTCATCACTTGCAATTATTATCTCTCTTCTTTATAATCTACCAATACAATGTGTTGTTATTATTTATTATATATTTTACTGTTATGTGGTGACCTTGCGTATATCTATGCTTTGTTTATCTAAATAGAAACTTCAGCTTTGCTCACTTTTGTACAGATGGCCCTTGCATCCATTATCTGTTATGAAATTCTTATTGTGATCTTTTGTCTTATAGGGGAAATTAGCCCATTTAACCTGGTATTATAGTTTATATAGCTATACGAAACTTGTATTAGTTTCCTAGGGCTGCCGTAACAAATTACCACAAACAGCGTGGCTTAAAATAACATAAATTTATTCTCTCAAGTTTCTGGAGGCTAGACGTCTGAAATCAAGGTGGCGGCAGGGCCGTGCTCCATCAGAAGGCTCTAAGGAAGATTCCATTCCTTGCCTCTTTGAGCTTCTGATGGCTCCAGGCGTTCCCTTGGCTTGTGGCTATGTAACTCCAGTCTCTGCCTTGGTCTTCCCATGGTCTTCTCCTCTGCGCCCTCTCTCCCTTACAAGGATACTTGTCACTCGATTTAGGGCACCCCTGGGTAATCTAGAGTGATCTCATCTGAAGATCCTTAACTTAATTACATCTGCAAAGACCCATTTTTTTCGAATAAGGTCACATTCACAGGTTCCGGAGATTTAGGCGTGGACAAATTTGGGGCGCAGAGGGGCACCATTCAACTCACTGTAGACCTCTGCCACCTTGCACGCTCATTCTGTGCTCTGTCTTTCTCTTCATGTAGATTTTGTGGGACTATATAAAACGTCAGCCAACATCTAACAGATATTTATGGAGAAGCTACTCTAAGCCAGGCCCTGTACTAGATGAATAAAACCAGGTAGGGTCTCTGTTCCTGTGGAACCTGAAGCTTGAAGTGCTTTAAGAACTAGGTCTTTTTAAAATTAAAAGTGTCCTTATAATTTTGAATAAGCAATATCTGCTTATGATAAAAAAATCTAAAGTATCTAAGGGGCATTTGACTGAATGCCTTCAGTTTGCCTATTTAATTTTTGTTTCCTAAAAATTTTAACATCAGTATTTCTTTAACTGAGCCACTTCTCAGCATTTATTTTTTCTATTTCACCCCAATAGGAAGTTTGTGGTTGAGGTTTGCCTTCTTATATTCTCATGAACCTCGTGGAATTAAAAAAAAATCTAATTGTTATTGTATCCTAGTGTCCATGGTGCCTCTTCTCATCTTTTCCCCAATATATGAACTATAAACCTGATATCGCCACTGAAGCTATTGCTTCGTACTTTACTGAGAAAGTCATATGTGAGCACTGTTCTATTAAAAACAATACTGCTTACTCTGTCTTTTTTTTTAATCCCAGGAAGAATTGTCTCTCTTCTCCAAGGCTAGACTTGTCATTTATAATCTTAATACTAATCCCTTATTTGTGCTTCATCATTAATCCTCTTTCTCTCTTTTACTTTAATATTTCACATCCACTTAATTTTTTTTCTCACAGCCAATAATCATGTTGACTTCCTCTTTTTTTTTTTTTTAAAGGAAAAAGTAGCAAAAAATGATGCACAAAGAAAGGACCTTTTCTAGCTTCTGCTGTTTTTGAAGCTTCTCTCCCTCCCTGGAATCCCAGACTTCTTAAGGATTGGCCCAGCATCTTCGTTCCTGACCACTCACTTTCCTAAAAACCTCGCTGCCCTCGGAGGGTCCCGCTAACCTTAACCTCCTAGAGATTCTCACGCTGTACAACCTGTTGGTTTTGTTATTGTTCCCTTTCTTGAAATTCTCCTTAGGCTTCGTGCCACTGGTTTCCTTCTTCTCCCACTCTCTTCATTTAATCCTCCCAACCCCATTCAAGAACTTGTCCTTAGTAGTTTAATAAAGTCTAATGACATACCTGTCACTTCCATGATCATTCTCTGGTCCTGGCCTCCCTCCACCTCCACCTCCCCTTGGGGTTCTGTTGTTTGGTTAGATTTCCTGCTAGTGCCAGAGGCTCAGAGTAGACATTCCGTATTTAGCTGCCGCTGCTGATTTGTTCCTTCACCCATGTTTCTGTGTGCTGTTGATGGTACTTCCTTCTTGCTCTTTTCTCTAGGATTGAAACTTTGATGTCATCATTGACTCTTCTCTGATTTTTCCCCTACTTAATCCTTTTAGGTCAGAAATATATATCTTCCTTATTTTTGTACCCCTGGGAGCTCCTTTGATGCTGGGCAGGTAATCAATACATAGTAAACCTTTGATGAATCAAGTCATGTTGGTTTTTACCTTTGGATTGGTCCACTCCACTCCATTCCTACTGCCATCACCATAGTTATTTCAGGCATTTTCTGTCTATTGTACACATTACTATAAGGTTATTCTTTATCTAGTTCCCTTGTTCCAGACCAAACTTTACAGCCTGATACTTAAGACCTCGTGTGATCTGGTTCCAACCTAACTTTCTAGCCTTACTGATCATGCATTGTAAACTGCCGTCAGTCTGAAGCGCTTGCTATTTTTCATGTGCATCGTGACCTTTATGAGTTTCTGCTCAGGTCCATGCCAGACTCTCTTTCCCCCAATCCTTCCATATGGGTTGATCTGAGTCTCCAACCGATTTTCCAAGGTGCATCTCAGATCACCTTTTCCAGGAAAGCTTCCCAGAATCCCTTACCGGAAGTGATCTTCCCCCCCCATTCCCATAATTCTTGAGCTATACCTTACTAATGGCATTTATCCCTTTTATCTAGACATATCCTGACTAATTTCCTTTACTAGACTCTATGCCACTTGAGATTAGAGACAATATTGGATTGTTTATATCCCAACGCATTTACTTACCTACTTAATAATTTATTATTTGAGTGAAACTCTTTAATAACCATTAAAGTGATACCTAACATACTGAGTAGTTCTATTTCGTATATTTTAATGTATGTTTATTATTATTATTATTACCATTATCATCATTATTTTTGGCTGCGCCGCATGGCTTGCAGGATCTTAGTTCCCTGAGCAGAGATTCAACCCAGGCCATGGCAGTAAAAGTGCCGAGTCCTAACCACTGGATGGCCAGGGAATTTCCAATATATTTTATTATTTATTTAAGACTTTGGTTTAGGTGGACTGTTAACAATTTTTTGTATTTCCTACATAAAGCAATAACTGTTGTAACTGCAGTTATGTTACGTGTGCATTTTGATAGTGAGCACTAGCTTCCCTTACTTGTTCAATCACTATTCCTCCCCAAGGTTGGTTTTTATTTAATGTTATTAACCTTGCCCTTTGTAAGTCCATTTATCCACTGATTTCTAAGAAGTATGTCTCTTGACAACCATATCTCTGTTTTTTCCTATATTTTTGCAGCTGTAAAGATGTGGCCAGATTCCTACAGACCTCCCAGTTTCAACAATTTTGTTTTTGCACTTGAGAAAAAACAGTTAACTAGGTAGTTACCTTTGTATTCTCTTCTGTATCATTTTTCCTTACTTTCTGGTAGGTTTTAGGACCCTGGTTTGTTTTGAAGTTTAAAGACTTGGCGTATTGGTGTCCAGTGGTCTTTCTCTGAGCCTCGTGTCCTGAGGATACCTTCTCTGGTCCTACTCCAAATCCATGCCTGATGCCGTGATGATCTTGGGGCTGTGCTTCTTTTGTTTTCCTGATGCGGTTCCCATGTTGCTGGCTTTTTAAATGTGAGACTTATAGTTCTCTTCAGAAGTGGGATCTTGGTGTTTGTTTTCTTCAAGTCTTACGTTACCATTAATTTTTATAGTCTAGTGAGAGTCTAGTCTAGACTGGTTTTGCTCTGATGCATTAATTCTCTTCCTCATTTTACTGTGATCCTACCACCCCAGCAGCAAATGTTTCTGTTTTTTATTAACGGTTTATGTCTTCTGAAATAGCTGTTATTCGCCTAGCTATACTTAGTTGCAGCTCTTCAGGCCTTTCCCCCTTTTTTCTTCTTTGCACTTCTGCCTGTTTGTTCTTCTTTTTGGAGATGTGCCTAAAATTATTCTCAAGTGTCCCTCCCTTCCTCTTTTCTTAACTTTTCCCTCTTCCCTCCTTGGCTTAGCTCATTATTTTTGACATTTATTTTCTTTGCCTCAGACCTTGGTAATTGTTTTGAGGGTCCTAGTTAGGATAAACACTGTATATTATTATTTTTAAAATGCATTTCAACCTTCTCATGAAGCCAGATGGGGTCAGGGGTAGAAGAAACCACTCTGTTTTTTATTTTGTTTTGAGGCTCTCTGATAAAAGGATTGAGGAAGAAACAGAATGTTCTGAGTGAGATGGACTTTTTGTTCTCTGTGTACACTTCATCCTATCCAGTGAGCACGGATAAGCATGCACGTTCTAGGATCAGCAGTGTGATCGTTGGTATAGTTGATAATGTTCTTAAATTCTGGACAGCCATTGAATAGATATGTGTGTATTATGGCTTTTATTTTTTAATGGTGACTCTTTAGGTAGAGGAAGAAAAAAGTGATACAGGCAGTATTTGCTTTCTACAGTACTTTGAATGGAAAAAGAAGAAAGATGAGAGATTTAAAAAACATATTATAATTTTAATGGCTTTTCCACCAAGCAACTGGAAATCTCCCTCCCCAAGTTCTATTACATTTATCACAGAGAGCCTTTGAACTAGATAGTCTTCGGCAATTTTTCAGTGGAAAGATGGAGGCCTAAAGTTCACACAGCTTCTCAGAATTGGGTATAAAACCTCTTGACTCCCTCTCAGACACCCCTTCCATAGGGCAGGCTGCTGACCTACAATATGTAATTTGTTTTTCGTGTGACGAGAACCAGTCTCTACTTGTGCAGTCAAGACCTGGAGGGTAATGAAATTTTGTCCAAAGTTTTTCCAGACTATTACCTCTATTTTGTAGCCTCTCGTTTCCTTTCACTTCCAGCTTTTGCTGTGCCGTCTGTGCCAGTGATGACAAAGATTGTTACTGTCAGTTACACATCATTCTTAGCCTACTTGCTGTTTTCTTGCTCTGAATTCAAGTTTTTGAGTTGCCATGGGCCTCCTGACCCTGCAAGAGGGATCTCTTGGCTTGTCCTTGTCACAGAGCAGGCCCACTTCTCTGGTGACAGGGTGGATGGTGGCCTCTCAGTGGAACTCGTGGGAGCTGTCTTTTGTTCTGATGCAGATGAGGGGCGCAGTCATGTCTGTCCTGACATAGTGCCTGGGATTTGCCCACACAGGCAAACCTGTACTCTGAGCATGGTCAGAACAGCTTGTGGTCATGCAGCTTCCTTATGTCCCTTTAATGTCCCTTTAGTAGAAGAAAGCAGCAGAATTATCTTTCTGGGGTTCTGAATCATTTGTCCAGTGTGGCCCAGTGTAAGGTCTTCATTGTACTACAGACAAATGCTTTGGGATGTGGAAAGTCATCAGTGCTGTTTGGGCCCTGGGGTCCCCATGCTCTGTGAGAAGCAGCAGTAGACACAGTGGCGGAGCTCTTGGTGCCCGTTCACTCTATTTTGCGAGTGAAGGGCTCAGAATTAAATGCAGAAGAGGAGATTGTGTGACAGTGGTGACTTAACTGTGTTCTTTTATTTCTATTGAGAAATACATATGTATATTTTATAAATTTATTTATTTTTGGCTGCATTGGGTCTTCATTGCTGTGCACAGGCTTTCTCTAGTTGCAGTGAGCGGGGGCTACTCTTCGTTGTGGTGCACGGGCTTCTCATTGCGGTGGCTTCTCCTGTTGCGGAGCATGGGCTCTAGGTGCGCAGGCTTCAGTAGTTGTGGCACTCAGGCTCAGTAGTTGTGGCTCACGGGCTCTAGAGCACAGGCTCAGTAGTTGTGACGCACGGGCTTAGTTGCTCCGCGGCATGTGAGAGCTTCCTGGACCAGGGCTCAAACCCATGTCCCCTGCATTGGCAGGCAGATTCTTAACCATTGCGCCACCAGGGAAATCCTTGCTTTAGCAGTAGTAAGTTTTGTGTCTGTTAGATACTTGGAACTAGAATAGCCTCTCTTTCTCATTGATGAAAAATTTGAGAATTTTGATTCCTGTATACTTAGTAACTCTAGCTCTTGTATTTTTTTTAAATTTTATAAGTTTTATTGAGGTGTAATTTATTGAGCTATAATTCACATACCATAAAATTTACTCATTTAATAGGTATAATTCAATGGTTTTTAGGGTATTTACAGGGTTGAATCAATTTTAGAACACTTTTATCACCCCAGAAGGAAATGCCTTACCCACTGGCAGTTAATCTCATTTTTACCCAGTCCCTGCAGCCCCTGCTAACCTATGGATTTGCCTATTCTGGACATTTCATATAAATGGAATTGTACTAAGTAGTCTTTTGGGCCTGGTTTCTTTCACTTAGCATAATGGCTTCAAGGTTTAGCCACGTCTTTCTGTTGGTTTTTCATTATTCTCTGGGATGGTACAGAATGCTAATGCTGGTCTGTCTCCCATCTCTGGACTAGAGGAATAGTTCACAGATACATTAAAGAGCAACAACAAAGCACTTCAGAGACTATCCTAGGTCTTCAGATGGGCCTCAATTGCAGTCACTTAAGGGAGATGGTTTTTGATCTCTGTATTAGTTCTCTATTACTGCAGAACAAATTACCCCCAGACATAACAGTTTAGAACAACAACATTTATTATCTCACAGTTTCTGTGGGGTTAGGGGCCTGAGCACAGCTTAGCTGGATCCTCGAGCTCTGCACTTAGCTGGATCATGTGACTGACTGCAGTCCTCTCAAGGCTCCGCCCCCTACCTCATTCATGTGGCTGTTGGTAGGATTCAGTTCTTTGCAGTAACCCCTCAGTTCCTTATGAGCTGTTGTGGGTTCTTTCCTTTGTGGGCCTCTCCATACAGCATGTCACAGCATGTCAGCTAGCTGCATCAGAGTGAGCAAGCAGGTGGGCGAGAAAGATGGCCAGCAAGACAGAAGACACGGTCCCTCACACCCTGAGCACAGCAGTGATGTCCCATCACTTGCCATATTCCATTCATTAGCAGCATGTCACCAGATCCACCGCACGCTCAAGGGGTTGTGATCCTACAGGAAGTGAATACCAAGAGTCTAGTATGACAGGGGGCGGGGGGGGGGTGGCGTTTTAGAAGCTGCCTACCACAGTCTCCTATGCTGTTACTGAGCAAAAGTCTTCTGTATATGTTTGTGATGCCTCACCTGGTGTCTGAGAAGTGGATTGTTGATTTCCTTGATTGCAGAGATTCTGTGGCGAAAAGGCATCTGAAGTGTTCTTAGGAATATGGTAAAATTCGTTTTGTGAGAGAGCATTTGTGATAGTTAAAAAGGGGCTTGGAGGTCTCAAGCCATAAGTTTTAAAAACAAGATAGGGGAGAAAACAAAGTGAGTTGGGTATTCTCTTCGCCACCCACCCCCCCACCCCCAGTCTAGGTTCAGAGATGGGGGAAGATCAGCCAGCAAGACAGAGAAGAATCAAAGGAGGTGGGACTGGGGTTTAAATGGGTCCCTGATGTGGAGCCCGGCAGCACTGCCCCTTGGAGTTGCGGGGTACAAAGGGGCTGCAGCATGATCGAAACCCTGACTGCCCATCTCAGACGGACATTGGAAGATCTGAGGGCTGGAGAGACTGTTGTTTGCCTTATGTGCTAATAATTTGTCGGCTATTCTCTTGAGAGACTTTTCTGCTAAATTGGTACATCTTTTCTCTCCACCCTGAGATGACAGGATGGCGTTTAGTTTCATTTCCCTCATTTTTGTCTTGTGACATTTTGACAGGATAACTCGTCTTTGTTTGCTCCGTCCCCACCCCGAACCCCCAGTCCTTGGTCTTGGGACACCACTTGCTGACAGTTGCTCTTCTTTTCTCTCCTTTTGCTCAATAGTTGTTTTCATGGAACCCTGCTGTGCCTCTTTAGAGCTTACTTTTGAAAATTGTCCCCTTTCATATTCTCACATCATTGTGACTCTTCTCTCGTTCCTTGACTTCTTTTTTTGATAGTGGATTCTAGTGTTCTAGTGCAGAGAACAGGGTGATAAGGTGAAATTGTGTCCTTTGCTTCTGATATAAATTTAAAGAAAAACCCATAAAATATTTCAGACTTGAAGAAAGTACAGAGAATAATAGACCAGAACACTCATGTACCCTCCACTTGGATTTATGAAGTACTAACCTTTCTTGTGTTACTTTTTGCCCCAGATTTTTAAAGAATTTATTCATCCACAGTATCCCTTTCAAAATATTGTATTGACGGACATGTTGGCTATTTGCATATTTTGCTATTATGAACACTGCTATGATGAATGTTTCCTTGTGCTTGTGGGCAAGAGTTTTTCTAGCCATAGATATCTTCAAAACAGACTTCTGTGGGGAGGTGGGGTGTGGGTGGAGGGAGAGAAATAGGTGAGGGGGATTAAGAGGTGCAGATCTCCAGTTGTAAATGAGTCGTGGGTATGAAATGTACAGTGGGGGGAATATAGTCAGTAATTATGTAATATCTTTACGTGGCGACATACTGTAACTAGACTTATTGTGGTGATCATTTTGAAATGTATAGAAATATCAAATCCCTCTGTTGTATTACAGTAACTAACATAGTGCTGTAGGTTGATTATACTTCAAAACCAACCAAACAAACAAGCCCATAAAAAAAGAGATCAGATTTGTAGTTACAGAGACGAGGGATGGGGGGAAGGGGAATTGGATGAAGGAGGTCGAAAGGTACAAACTTCCAGTTTTAAGATAAATAAGTAATGTGATGTAATGTGCAATATGAATAATATAATGAACACTGCTCTATGTTATATATGAAAGTTGTTAAGAGTAGATCCTAAGGGGTTTTTTCATCATAAGAAAAACATTTTTGTTCTATTTTAAAAATTTTGGGGACTTCCCTGGCGGTCCAGTGGTTAGGCTCCGCTTTTTTTTTTTTAATTTGCCACATGGCATGCGGGATATTAGTTCCTCCACCAGGGACTGAACCCGAGCCCCCTGAAGTGCAAGTGCGGAGTCCTGACCACTGGACCGCCAGCAACGTCCCTGATGGATATTTTCTAAAACTTACTAAGAATCATTTCATGCTATATGTAAGTCAAATCATTATGCTATATACTTTAAACTGATACAGTGCTGTATGTCAATTATATTCCAATAAAACTGAAAGAAAAAAAACTGGGTGATTGATAAGCAAAACCGTAAGTGGCAAACACTTCTGTAGTATGTTGACAAAGAAATGTTACAGCCATTTTTCATAATGTTACATGAAATAGGGGAAAATGCCTTTTGTGACAGCCATTTAGATGGAAAAATGTTAACTCATGCTGCCTTTCACTTTTGGATTAATACTAGTGTGGCTTTTTTTTTTTTTTTTTCAGAACAGATACTTGTATGACTAGAAGGAAAACTGATGGCATATTGGAATTAGCAAAACCTACTTTCATGTGATAATTTAAGAAAATATTCACCACATACTTCTCTTATTTTTCTCTGTGATATTGTTTATTCCTGTCTATGGGTAATCAGCAAAACCCATATTTATTATGTGTCATACTAATCTCTAAGCAAGAATTTTTTTAAAGCTTTTATCGTGGAAAATTTCAAACACACACAAAAGTAGAGAACATAGTACTGTGAACCCTCAGGTATGCATCACCCAGCTTCAACACAATGGACTTTCTTTTTAGCAAGATTTTCAATTGTGATGCTAACATTAGTTTTATATTTAGAAGGTCTTATGTTCAGGGTAACACAAAATTAACATTACTCATTTGGAGAATTATTTCAGTATTCCTTTGAGGTAAGTGGCAATTGTTTAGAGGACTTATTATTACTGTTATTATTATTAGATTTAAAAGTTGTCCTTTTAATATAATTTTGCTAATTTATGGATGGATTGTGAGTTTCTTCTCTCCATTAGTTGCTCAGGGTAAAGGTCTGTTTGGCCAGTCTTCTCTTTAACAGGGAGATTGTCCACAAGCTTTGTAAAGTGAGACATAAGTCCTTCAAAATGCTTTGATACAAAAGTTAGGAAACCATTCTAAACACTTAGAGGACTCCATTTTAAAAATGAAACACAGGGAGTTCCCTGGTGGCCTAGTGGTTAGGATTCCGGACTTTCACTGCCGTGGCCCCGGTTCAATCCGTGGTCGGGAACTGAGATCCCACAAGCCGCATGGCACAGCCAAAGGGAAAGAGAGAAACACGGGTACAAGCTAGTAATATCCCCTGGTACTGCAGTGTTTGTGGAACTGTAGATCCAGGGACTGTGTAAATTCACTGTCTGAGCTGTACTGCATGAGTTTCTTGTGTGCTTGGATTCCAGATAGCAGTGGTCATGGGCTCCTGTACAGCAGGAGGAGCTTACGTGCCTGCGATGGCTGATGAAAACATCATCGTACGCAAGCAGGGTACCATTTTCTTGGGAGGACCTCCCTTGGTAAGAAGCTAGTTGTTTGTTTGTTTCTTTTGGGTAAGAACATAGTCTTGTTTGCTTACTTGCTTGATTGATTGAAGTAAAACATGCATAATATAAAATTTACCATTCTAACCATTTTTAAGTATACAGCGCTCTGGCATTAAGTATATTCACTTTGTCGTGCAACTATCACCACCATCCATCTCCAGAATGTTCTTATCTTCCCAAACTGAAACTCTGTCCCCATTAAACACTAACTCCCTCTTCCCCACCTCCTTCACTGCCCCGCCAACCATGATTCTACTTTGTCTATGAATTTGGCTACTCTAGGAACCTCATTTAAGTGGGATCATATAATATCTGTCCTTTTGTGTTTGGCATATTTCACTTAGCAAAATGTCCTCAAGATTTATCCATGTTGTAACATGTTTCAGAATTTCCTTCCTCTTTAAGGCTGAATAATACTCCAATGTATGTACATACCACATTTTGTCTACTTATCCATCAGTGGACTTTTGGGTTGCTTCCACTTTGAGGCTATTTGGAATAATGCTGCTGTGACCATGAGTATACAAATACCTGTGTGAGTCCCTGCTTTCATTTCTTTTGGGTATATGCTCAGAAGTGGAATTGCTGAATCGTGATAATTCTATGTTTAAATTTTGGAGGAATCACTTCCTTCCTCTTTATGGCTGAATAATATTTCATTGTATGGATAGGCTGCATTTTGTTTATCCATTTATCGGTTGATGGACATTTGGATTGTTTCCACTTTTTGGATATTATGAATAATGCTCCTATGAACATTCATGTATAAGTTTTTATATGGGTATGTTTTCATTTCTATTGGATATAAACCTACAAGTACAATTTCTGGGTCATATGGTAGCTCTTAGGTTAACATTTTGAGGAACAGCCAAACTGTCCAGAGCATATTTTACATTCTTGCCAGCAGTGTGTGAGGGTTCTGATTTCTCTACATTCTCTCCAACACTTGTTATTGTGTGTCTGTTTGACGGTAGCCATCATAGTGGGTGTGACATGGTACCTCACTGTGGTTTTGATTTTCATTTCCCTAATGGCTAATGATACTGAGCATCTTTCATGTGCTTGTTGGCTATTTGTATATCTTCTTTGGAGAACTGTCTATTCAGATCCTTTGCCCATTTTGTAATTGGGCTCTTGTCTTTTTATTGAGTTGTAAAAATTCTTCATGTGTTCTGGATACAAGTCTCTTATCAGATGTATGATTTGCAAATATTTTCTTCTATGGGTTGTCTTTTCACCCTCTTGATGGTATTTTCCTTTGAAGCATAAACACTTTAAATTTTGATGAAGTCCAATTTTTATATTTTTTTCTTTTTTTTTTTTTTTGCTTGTGCTTTTGGTGTCCTATCTGTGAAGGTATTGCCTATTCCAAGGTTGCAAAGATTTAATCCTTTGTTTTCTTCTAAGAGTTTTATAATTTTAACTCTTACGTTTGGGTCTGTGATCCATTTTGAGTTGTTTTTTGGTGCGGTTTCAGGAAGGGGTTCGACATTTTTCTGTACATGGACATGCAGTTGTCTCAGCATCACGTGTTGAAAGGACTGTCCTTTCCCCCTTGAATGGTGCTGGCTGAAGAAAAATACTTTTACTTATCTTTTCTTCTACTCAAGGTCAATAACAAACCAATACATTGTTAAGTGAAAACAGCAAGGTGCTTACACATAGTGTGTTAACTTTTGCGTAAAGTGGAGGGGGGGAATTATACATTTGTAAGCTTGTATATGCATAAAGAAACTGAAAAAGATAGAGTAAATGTTGTTTAAATGCAGAGGAGATGAAGCCGGGTGGGAGAGAGACCTTTGACTTTCCGAGTCTTGTGAAAACATCTTTTCAAAAGGTTAAGTCCCCCCCACCAAGAAAAAAGAGTTAGAATAGCTATCAGTGGTGCTCTAAATTTTTAATACTAGCAAGCTTTATGGATCACTGGTAGGGCAGCTACATGATTTGCAGACCCCAGTGCAAAATGAAAATATGGAACCCTTTGTTCAAAAAGGAGAAAACTACTGTGAAAGATACTAAAATATGAAACATGTTCCCTTCTTCTGTGGTCTGTCTACCAGTCATGGTGTTTTTATTTGTTATTTAATGACGGGCCCCACCCCACCCCCACCCCCGCCCCCGCCAGGCATCTCTACTTCCCATGGGCCCACCATGTCCCCAAGGATGTGCTGCCTCCATGTGAGAATGTGCTTGGTACCCAGATGGGGAACGAGCAAAAGCCTAGCCCTTAGCATCCCCCCCCCAGCACCCCTCCCCCAACACGCAGAGTGGCCTGTTGGAGAGCACACCTCAGCAGCACACCTCAGCACTGCCAGCCCAGGACAGTGATGGGGCTGCCATGCTCTTCCCTGAGACACCATGGGGGGCACACCTGATCTCTGATCCTCCCTACACCTGTGTCAGGCCCCCACTGGGGGCGGGTGTACCAGGTGCTAGGCAGGGGTGGGGAGGAGAAGGTAGGGCAGGACCCAGGGCCCAGGCAGCAGTCAGCAGGGAAGCAGGGAGCCAAGAACCCATCCCAGGGAGATGGGGGGAGGCAGACTGCACAAGATCTGAGGCCATTGTCCCATCAGACTTCATGTACAGAACACAGATTCAAAGATAAAGTTAATTAGACTTTCACTAGGGTGACCACTGAGCATTAATTAAACTCCAAGCACAGGGCCCTTCTGAGAGTGGGACCCTGTGCAACTTCACTGGCCACCTGCCCGTGATGCAGGCACTGAGGACTGGATTATGTCATCCTCGGCTCTTCCTCATCTCTCCTTTGGACACCTCCATTGTGATTTTTCAGGAAAGCAGTTGTCACCCTGCTTTGCTTATGTCACAACATGATCCTAGGCTTCAGAGTGATAAAGAGAGGCTGGGTGAAGACACAGGTAATTTCTACTGGTTACAACAAAACATCCCATTACGTAAGTAAAATCCAAGAATATTAAATAGGTAAAAAGAATAATGTCAAGGAACTTCTAAAGCTATAATAAACCTACAAGTGGAGTAATTCAGCCATAAAAAGGAAAGAAGTTTTGACACATCCTACAACACGGACAAACCTTGAAAACATTGGGCCAGACACAAAGAACAAATATTGTGTAGTTACCCTTCTATGAAATATGTAGAATAGGCAAATTCATAGAGACAGAAAGTAGATTAGCTGTCGCCAAGGACTGGGAGGGGGTAGAATGGGGAGGGACTGCTAATGAGTATGGGGTTTCTTTTGGGAGCGATGCAATGTTCTGGAATTAGGTGGTGGTGATGGTTGTTATACAGCCTTGTTAACATAATAAAAAACACTGAATTGTATTCTTTTAAATGGTGAATTTTGTGGTATGTGAATTATATCTTAAAAAGTAAGTTTATTGCTTCAAAAGTCTGTCAAAGAATTATCTGGTTTTGGAATATTAACTCAAGTTTATTAAAAAGAGTATATTAAAAGATGTTATACTTTGATGTTGAATAAGTGTATTTTCCAAATGATTGTGTTAATTTTTAATAACTTTTACTGAGGATCAGATAAGCCTGAAGAGCTGCCTTTTCAAATGAATTAAAAGTCTCAAGGCATTATTCAAAACCCCTACAGCATAATATTAAATATTATTCTTCAATATTTCTCTAGCTATGTGCGATAGCAATTGTTGGTTAATTTACCTATGTGTAGTAAACTTTCCTGGGTAATTCTTGTTTATTTTTCACTAGAGAATAAGTAAAGATATGACTAAAATTTTAAAACATCTTTTTGGGAATATAGGTAGTATCATAATACTGAAATAATGCTAACTGTTTTCAAGAGAAGATTTTGTCTAAAGGTCAGCATTACAATGTCTGTTCAGTGGATTCAGATTTAACTTGTGCCTTAGAAAGAAGCAACATAGCAGCTGAAGTCTGCAGTTTTGTTAGAGAACTAAACCTTGCTCAGTAGTCTACCATCAAAAGGCTGTATTTACAGGTAGAAAAAGAAGCAGCAGCAGCCTTACCTGCTTGAGAATTCTAAATTTTGATGCTTGTTTCACTGAAAATTGAGAAAAGGCTTTGTAGGTTTCACACATAATGTGAGGTTGTAGCTTTCAGTAGTTTAAGGTGGTTGGAAAAAAATGCATACTAATAAGGTAAATTTTTTTTTATTTTTTATTTTGTATTGGAGTATAGTTGATTAACAATGTTGTGATAGTTTCAGGTGTACAGCAAAGTGATTCAGTTATACATATACATACAGCTATTCTTTTTCAAATTCTTTTCCCATTTAGGTTGTTACATAGTATTGAGCAAAGTTCCCTGTGGAATAAGACAAATTTTTGAAGGAGTTTTTTAGTTCTCCTACCTTTTGTTTATCATCCGAACTTGTTATTTAATAGAATGAGCAGTGTTCATTTTCTCTTTGACTTTTATCATCTTTATACATATCACAGTTTCAAACATGTTGTGGGGGTTGCATAAATATTAACTGATGACAAATCTTTATTTTTTCAGTTGATATCAGTCAGTTCCCTGAAAATGAATTATCATGTATCAGACGTTTATTCGTTTTTACAACTTTAAATATCCAGACACCTCTTATAAGTAGTTATTGTCTGGACTGAATGTTATTTTACACCAAATTTTTTGGGAAGAAGAGAATCAAGAATTTAGTTCTGGGGCTTCCGTGGTGGTGCAGTGGTTGAGAGTCCGCCTGCCGATGCAGGGGACATGGGTTCGTGCCCCGGTCCAGGAAGATCCCACGTGCCGCGGAGCGGCTGGGCCCGTGAGCCATGGCCGCTGAGCCTGCGCGTCCGGAGCCTGTGCTCCACAATGGGAGAGGCCAGAACAGTGAGAGGCCCGTGTACCGCAAAAAAAAAAAAAAAAAAAAGAAAAGAATTTAGTTCTGGGGGTGCATAATTGGAGCTGAACAATTTAATTACCTGGAATAATATTTTATTTAAGACAGAGCTTTTGATGTAGTGAATAAGTCATTTCTATGCTGTATTTTAGATTAGTGTTCATTATTCTCATAAAAGCTTTTCTTTTATTACTTGAAGAAAAAGAAACAAAGCGACCAACCCAAAGCAGTAGGAATCAATAAATGATTCCTAAGGGATCAGGTTGACATTTAGCATTAAATGATTTTTCTTGCTTTTTCTTGTTCGAATTTCTCAGGCTATAATTGTCATTCTTTTTTAAAATTATTATTAATTAATTTATTTATTTTTGGCTGTGTTGGGTCTTAGTTGCTGTGCGTGGGCTTTCTCTAGTTGTGGTGAGCGGGGGCTACTCTCTGTGCGGTGCACGAGCTTCTCATTGCGGTGGCTTCTCTTGTTGCAGAGCACGGGCTCTAGGTGTGTGGGCTGCAGTAGTTGTGGCTCACGGGCTCTAGAGCACAGGCTCAGTAGTTGTGACGCACGGGCTTAGTTGCTCCACGGCGTGTGGGATCTTCCTTGACCAGGGATTAAACCCGCGTCCCCTGCATTGGCAGGTGGATTCTTAACCCATGCGCCACCAGGGAAGTCCCTATAATTAAGTCATTCTTAATTTGTTACTTAAGGTTTCTTTCTTTTTAGTCATATTATGCTGAATCTTAGATGTGGGTAATCATGGAGATTTTTCCCCCCATCTTAAAGATATTATACCTTTAAGAGTTTGTTTTTGAAAGTCACTGGAATTTTTCAGCAAAGGTGAAAAAATAGCATTACTTCAATATATGTATTGTGTCCAAAGATGAATAAATCACAGTTTCTGCCATCAAGGAACTCACAGTATAGAGGAGATGACAGAGACACATGCAAATTACTGACATATAGTCTGGTAGGCACCATGTTGGAGGTGTAGGTGGAATGCTCTTGAACCACAGATGAGCAAACATTGCTCTGTTAAAACCATGGAGTGTCGTTAATGGTTAAAAGGCCTGGGCAGGTCAGGGAAAGCCACACAGAGCAGATAGGGCTTGAAGGATAATTGGGGATTCACCGGGTGGTTGAGAGGGAGAAGGGAGCCCAGCAGTAGGATCAGCATGTGCACAGACACAAAGGCTTTAACGTGGGTGTGGAGGCAGAATAATGTAGGGGAAAGAGAGTGTGCTTTCAGACCAGGAATGTCTGGGTTCAGATCAGGTTCCATCCCTTGCTCAGAGGCTGTGGGCAGGTTCCTTAGTGACCGTGGGTTCACATTTCTCGTCGGTAGACTAGAGACAATATTATCTAGGTTTACCTAGGTGGGTGGGATGAGAAACAAAATGTCTAGTTCTATGGAAGAAAGAATGGTAGATATAATCAGGTTAAGAGGTGTGTAGGACAGCATTTTAATACAGTAATTCCCCTACATACGAACCTTCAAGTTGAGAACTTTTGAAGATGCAAACGTGCCCCTGGATGCCAGCTGCTGTCCTGTACTACTGTACTTTTCAAGGTACTGTCCTGTAAGGTTAAAAATGTTTTCTTCATTTTTTGTGTTTGTTTGTTTTTTATGTATTATTTGTGTGAAAAGTATTATAACCTATTACAGTATAGTACTGTATAGCCGATTGTGTTAATTGGATACTTAGGCTAACTTTGTTGGACTTAACGAACAAATTGGACTTACGAGCGTGCTCTCAGAACGGAACTTGTTTGTTTGTAGGGGACTTTACTGTATCTCTGATGGAGAAAACACACCATTGACTTTTATCCTTGTTGTAGGTTAAAGCAGCCACTGGAGAAGAGGTGTCAGCTGAGGATCTCGGAGGTGCTGATCTTCACTGCAGGTGAAACAGAAGCAGTTGTTTCTTTCCAGGATTGATTGTCACTTGTTTGCTTAAAAGAAGTGTTAAATTATTTTTTCCAGGTGTTAAACTTGCCAGATCAAACCAGTTTATTTGTTCTAGATCCGCTCTTTTAGGGTCCAATCCTTTTAGAGTTTCATTTCTAAGCAAGAACATCAACTTTTTCATTATAGCCTAGAAAGACTGGAGAAACAGGTTTCTTATTTATTTAACAAACATCCATTGAGCACCTGTTATGTGCCAGGCACTGTTTAGGTATTTGAGATAATAAGATAGACATTGTCTTTCATCTCAAGAAGCTTATAGTCTAGTCAGAGAGGTGGGCAATAAAGAAATAATCAGCAAAAAATTATATAAATATGTATACATGATAAGGGCTACAAAGAAGTACAGGCATATAGAAGGTGGGGCTAACCCAGTGGTGTGCAGGCATTATGCCTTTGTTTAATTAACACTTGTTAAGTGGAGCACAGGGTGCTGGATGGTGAGCCGTGGTTCAACAGCAGACCACAAGAGAATTTGAAATAGAGAAGTTTATCAGTCACAGGTCCTGGAGGAAGTACACAGCGCACCTTGAGGGGCCGCATGAGGCAGTCTAGGCAGAGTGCCCAGAGAGAGAGACAGGACCTGGGTACCTGTTTTTATTAGGGTCCATGGTTGGAGTGCTTTTGGGGTCCCCTGACTACAGCTGGATTGGTCAGTCAAACCAGAAGATTGGGGTATTGGTAAGTTCCATGGGGATTTAATCTAAGCATACAGGTGCAGAGAGGCAGGGGAGACTGTTGATCTTAAGGGCTGTTGGGGAAGTTATATGAGGACTTACATTTGCTTGTGACTGAGCTGCTATCTAGGGCTTGCTTGAGGGGCCAGTGTCCATTTAAGGTCCATGCAGGCTGCTTGCAATGCTGGGGAATAGCTTGGCTAAATGCTCAATAGCAGGTAAATGCTTAGCTGATTCACTGAGGAGGGAAAATGTCCTGCTTTGTGGCATCTGCCAATATCTGTGGTATGAATTATCCCACGATAGCTGATTTTAAGCTACCAGCGGGGCACCACTGAACATGGAATCAGGAAGAGATGCACACAGTTGGCCCTTGTGAGTCAGGCATGAGCCGCTCCATCACATTGCTGGTCTTCCCATTTCAGATTAGAGTTCAGGAGTAAGAAGATCATCTACCTCCTAGAATTTTGTGAGAATTAAATGAGATGGTATGTGTAAATTGCTTGAAACAATACCTGCTTTAAAATAAGTACCTGTAATTGTTAACTGCCATTATTATTATTGTTTATCATTGTAATTGGTCATTCAGTGTTTTGGACTTTTTCTTTTATGAGCAATTAGGAAACCATCAAAGAGTTTTAAGGAGAGTTTGTGCTATTATTAAACATTTCACTAGAAAAAAAAAATCCCTCTGTCTGCTAAATGGAGAATGAATGCTTAGAGGGTTGGCAATAGTGTCTGTGAGGGACCAGTTGGGTGGTTGTATCAGTAGCATACAACTATTGCTAAGTTGGCTGAGAGGTGCCGGTGGCTTAGATAATTATGGTGGTAGTGAATGGAGGAGGGGAGTAATCAGATTTGTGCTCTATTTTAGAGGTGGAATTGAGGGACTTGATGGATTTCATATATGGGGCACAGGAAAGTGAGGTGACAAAGATGATGACATGAAATGGTTTCATTTCCTGAGATTGGGAAGACGGGAGGAGGGGCAGAGTTGGGGATAGGGCAGGGGGATCAAGTGTTGCTTTTGAACCTGCTAAGTTAGAGATGATCCAGACATCCAAGTAGAGATGCTGAATAGGCAGTTAACTATAAGAGTCTGGAGCCTAGAACTGTGCTCAAGAACCATCAACATGGAGGTGGAATTTAAACCATAGGACTAGGTGAGCTCACCTTGAGGTGAGTGTAGATAAGGAAGAGGGCCCAGGACTAGACCCTAAAGAACCCAGACATAACTGACAGGTAGATCTAATCATTGAGCTCAGTGGCCTGGGAGGTGCAGTAAACCTTTCTTTGCTTTGCCAAACCACAAACCAGGGAGGCAGGTGACTGTGGGAGCAGTCCAGTAGGTGGGAGACGGAAAATAGGTACAACATTTCCACCCTCCTATCAAAGAACACTGCTTTGCCTTTTGAAGAGTTGGCTAAGGAACCTACCTTTGCCTCAGTTTTTCATTCACTCCTTTCTTTTTGAGCACTTATTTGTGGATAGATTGATTGTACAAAGTGTTATGAGTAATACAGAAAAATTTCAGGCCTAGTCCCTGCCCTCAAGGATTTATAATTTAACTTGGCAGATAAGAGAATGAGCTAAAAAACAATTACAAAACAAATAAGCTATTATGCTTCCAGTTTTACAACTAGAGGCAAAAGGAGGAATGATTAAGGGAAGAGCTGGAGCAGAGCTGAGGTAGGCAGAGAAGAAGCTTCGAGAGCTTGAGTTTTCTGCCTGGGTTCAAACAGAAGACTTGCTTATTTTGGTGAACACTACTGTGAGCAGAGATGCAGCATTTCTCTCTTATCTGGTCATTTACCGACCATTTCAGGGAGACAGTGAAGTAGATGTTTCAGCCTGGAGAGAGAGAGGATGCAGGTAGAATAGAAACAGGACAAAGTGGGCTGCCACTATTTGTAGGTGCTTAATCAGGGGAAGGAGATGAAGATAGTATTTGAGGAGCATTAATTAAAAAAATTGTTTTGACAGTTTAAAAAAAAGTCATCTGGTGCCCATAAAAGCTGTAGGTGGTATATCAAGTTAGGCGTGCAGGTTCTAGGATTCATCTTCCGTTTGCCTCACTTGTTACCCTTGTGACTAGACAAACTACATAACTTCCCAGAGCCTCATTTCCTCATCTGTAAAGTGAAGATATGAATAGTTCCTGCGTCACACAGCACAGTGTCTGTGGCATACTAAGCGCTCTATTACTTTTAGCTATCATCATTCATAGAAGCCTGTTTAAAATCATGGGACAGTGATTAGATGGTGATGGCTTTTTTGGGAACAGTGTCATAAAATTTACTAGGCACAACTTGCTTTGGGCTCTCTCTGTCATTGTAAATACGTATTTGTACATCTCTGATTCGTCATCCTTCGTAGTTAATTTGACACAAAGCTTTACATAGTAGAGTGTCTCATCAAAAATTTTCCCTTTCCTGTTGTTTTGGTAAATGCTAGACAGTTTTTAAAAGAAGGCATTTTAGGACTTCCCTGGTGGCACAGTGGTTAAGAATCCACCTGCCGATACAGAGGACATGGGTTCGAGCCCTGGTCCGGGGAGATCCCACATGCCACGGAGCAACGAAGCCCGTGCGTCACAACTACTGAGCCTGCGCTCTAGAGCCCGCGAGCCACAACTGCTGAGCCCGTGTGCCTAGAGCCCGTGCTCCACAACAAGAGAAGCCACCGCAATGAGAAGCCCGTGCACCACAACAAAGAGTAGCCCCCGCTCTCCACAACTAGAGAAAAGCCCATGTGCAGCAATGAAGACCCAATGCAGTCAAAAATAAATAAATTTTTTTTTTACAAAAAGGGCATTTTATTTTAAATATTTACTGATTTGGAAGCAGTCCCTTCTGCTTTTCTTTGCTTACTGAGTTACTACAGTGTAGCTAGAAGTCAGCAATTGTAGCTGGTATTTGTGAAGCATTTGGAAGACAGGGTCAGTTGTAAAATGTCCTACCAAATTAAAGAAACTGAAGGGTCTGCTATTTGCAAAGGATTGGAGGACTATAAAGAGGAGCACACATGGTCCTTGCTCTTATTGAGGAACACCCAAGCCCGAGGTGGACAGTGACGTGAAACCACTGTGAGAGCCCAGTTCTAAGACGTCTCCTAAGGATTTGGTGTGTTCCTTAGGCAAGACATCAAAATTTAGATCGCGGCAGCTTAGTTCTTGCTCATAAAATGTACTAAAATTCTGTTTCTTCAGGGGTGTTGTGTGTGTGTGTGTGTGTGCGCACACACAGATATATATATATATATATTTCTTCTATTTTTTGGCTGTGCTGCGTGGCACGTGGCATCTTATAGCTCCCCGACCAGTTGAACCTGTGCCCCCTGCATTGGAAGCGTGGTGTCTTAACCAGTGGACTGCCAGGGAAGTCCCTTTAGGTGTATATTTTTGCCTGACTTTATAGTGTTTTTTTTTAATACTTTATTAGAAAGTCATAGTACATCTACAAGTGAAACAACAAGCCATCTAATTGGAACCAGAGCACGCCCATGCTTTGTTCACGTTGAACTTGAAATTGAGCAGGCCCTTACCACAGTTCCATATTATCAATACCCATTTTCACCATTGATCTGAGGAACAGCGTTTTCAAGCCTTCGTGTGTGCTACCTGCAGCAGCTTACTCTTGGGGTGTAACTTGGTGAGGAAGGCCTCAGCAGTCTCTCAGAAATGAGAGGCCATAGTTGGCATCTTCACTGGGGTCTCAGTGAGGTACAAACAATTTTTGTTGTTACCAACTACATCACGAAAGCGTGCCAGCTGTGGTTGAACTTTATCTATCATATACGATTTTGTCTGAGGTGTACGGGATGAGCATTAAATAAGGCCCTGTGGTCCAGTAGAAGAAGGTCAAGATTGAAAAATAGAAGGTGTGGGTTCTTATGCAGGTACTGGTGGTCCTAGGACAAGGTACTTAACTTTTGTGTACCTCAGTTTTTCCTGTTTGTAAAACAAGGTTAATACTGCTTTGCCAGGGATGTTATGAAGATCAAATTAGATGACAGTTATTAAAGTGTTTTGGAAGTAAAAAGACGTCATCCTTAGATGAGAGAAGATACTTGGGGTTTAAGATATTTAATTATTTTCCTTTTCCCTGTTCTGATTCTTTTAGTGTGCTTTACTCTGTAGAAAGTCTGGAGTAAGTGACTACTACGCTTTGGATGATAACCATGCCCTTCACTTAGCTAGGAAGATTGTAAGGAATCTAAATTATCAGAAGAAAATGGATGTGAGTTGGATCTGTTCTTATATTTTTTATTTTCCCAAAGCATTTTGGCTTATGTCAGCTTGAAATAATGTCTTTAAATAGGCTAATGTGATTGTTCTGTATTTCTGCAGGTTACCATTGAACCTTCTGAAGATCCTTTATTTCCTGCTGATGAATTGTATGGAATAGTTGGTGCCAACCTTAAGAGGAACTTTGATGTCCGAGAGGTGTGTAAAGTGGAACTGTGAGCTGTAAGCTATGCTATCATAGTTTATGCCATGTGTTTAAACTTTGTCTGAACTACAAGCTGTGTGTATCCATTTTCAGAGCTGAAGTCTGTTTTAGATATGTTCATCCCTAAACTAAGGGACTGTTGTGGGTCTCAGTAAGGAGTGACATATAAGGGAAAGATATCTTACTAAAAGAGAGAGGGGGGGAAACCTCTTAATTACTGGAAAGTTTTCATTGCACGATGACTAAGCTTGCTTTGTCCATATTTAGTACTCCATATTCCTGTGGACATTAGGAATGATGTAGCACAACTTTATAATTTCCAGCTATGTCTTTTTTGGGTTCTTATTTTGGGAAATGGATGAAATGTCAGTAAGTTGTTGAAAGGAAAAAACATACCCTTTTAGATCAATATGACAGGAGCAAAGATTAGACATTTGATTGCAGTTGAAGATGTTGCTATGGTTACAGATTGTCTTCTGTAGTTTAGATTGACAATTTTTAGTGCTTGCATATAGCATGTAGTCTTTTATTTTGTTCAGTATCCATATCTGGTAGGATACTTGCTAAATTAGGGAACTGTCCTAATATCAGATTCTGTGCCTTAATATTTTGTTATGTTTCCCCTTGACTGTAAAACTATTATGTACTAACTGTGAAAAATATAGAAAATACAGAAAAACATAAAATTGCTTGTAATTCCACCATGCAGAGAAAGCAGCCAATATTTTGGTGTTTTGGCTTAGTGTGTATGTATACATTTTTATGTAGTTTAGATAGTATATACATACATACATATATTGATATATATATATATTTAATTCTAATTTTTCCAGTTTAAATTATAAACATCTCCCCATTATTTAAAACTTCTTCATGAATGTTTTTTTGTGGTTAGGTCCTGATTCTTATACTAGTACCTGGTGACATGGTAGGCACTCAGTAAATACATTTTTGGATGAATTGATGAATGTAATATCCCACTTATGGATATGTACAAATATTTCTTTAGGCAATACCCTATTATTGTTAGAGGGTCTTAAGTGCTGGATTTTAATGGAGCTTCAACTGGTACTTCACTTTAGCAAGGTAATTTAGTTAACTATAAGTTTTAGAATTAGGTTTTTTTTTTTTTTTTTTTTGCGGTACGCGGGCCTCTCACTGTAGTGACCTCTCCCGTTGTGGAGCACAGGCTACGGACGCGCAGGCTCAGCGGCCGTGGCTCACGGGCCCAGCCGCTCCGTGGCGTGTGGGATCTTCCCGGACCAGGGCACGAACCCACGTCCCTTGCATCGGCAGGCGGACTCCCAACCACTGTGCCACCAGGGAAGCCCCTAGAATTAGGTTTTCAGTTTGACTTTTTAGTTAATTACAGGCATAGAAAAAACTGGCACTTACAATCTGATGTGCCTGAAAAATTAGTTGTTCTAATAGTCAAGTTTTCTAGGTGGCTAAGGATTCATTCTTTCAAGCATAATCACTTTTTTAATTTATTCCACAGTATTTATTGAGTGCTTTTTCCATGAAGGTATTGTTTCAGGCACTAGGGGTACAGAAATGAGCAAAACAGATGTGAATCCATGCCTTCATGGTAGTTCAATTTCATTTTAATGGATATCTTTTTATAAAGATAGACGTCTGCCTTCTTAAATTGTATCCTGGACTTCTACCTTTTGCTGATTCATGTTCATCTTTGTGATGTTAATTTATTATATTTTTCTGTAATTGCAAATAAGCCTTGTATGGAGGTCTTACTAGTATATGGAGCTGTGGGACAACATTGAGATATTAATTGAAAAACCCAGGTTCTAGGGCTTCCCTGCTGGCGCAGTGGTTGAGAGTCTGCCTGCCGATGTAGGGGACGCGGGTTCGTGCCCCGGTCTGGGAAGATCCCACGTGCTGCGGAGCGGCTGGGCCCGTGAGCCATGGCCGCTGAGCCTGTGCTTCCGGAGCCTGTGCTCCACAGCAGGAGAGGCCATAACAGTGAGAGGCCCGCGTACCGCAAAAAAAAAAAACAACAAAAAAAACCCAGGTTCTAGCTCTTGTTTCCCTAGTCAGTGGTACTGGGGTTGAACCTCTCTGAGCATTGATTTCTGCTCCTAGAAATAGGAGTAGTGCCATATGATATGTCTGCTTCCTAAAGTTTGAGTCTTTGTGCAGATGAGTTAGTGTATTTTATGTAGCTGAGTGGACTTCACTGTAAAGCAAATAGAAGGGGGTTCACGTTAAGTGGCCCTAGGCTGCTCTGACCTTTTGAGTGGCTTTATCTTTGTGTGGAAGAATGGTCGTCGCTATGTGTTTGTTTTTCAAAAGGTGTAGTTTTGGAGCCACATAGCGCTTAGACAACTGTTATATCCCCATTATATTGTTTGACCTTTTAGGAAAGTAGCTAAAACATAATTCAAAGTAAGCTATTCACTCATTTTTCAGCCTTTGCAGCTTATAAAATAAGGCTTTGATTGATGTGGTAAACAGGAAAAAGGAAGCTCAAACTGGATAGAAAAAATGATGTGTAGCATCTAAAATAGTTTCTGAAAAAATTTGGAATATGCTTCATGTTTAGAACGCTTTGAAATAGTCCTGATATATAATGATGAATATGGAGGATAAGCTAGTAACTTTGACTCTGTGTAGATTAATTATATATGTGTGTGTGTATGTGTATCAGATTCAGAATCAATGAACCTTTATTGAAGGCTTAATAATAATAGCTACCTTTTGATGAGTACCAGGCAATGTTATTAGCTCTTAAGTATTATTATTATTGTTATTACTTTTTTTTTTTAAACAGATGAGGAAACTGAGGCTTCAGGGATTTTAAGTAACCAGCCTGTGACTCTAGTTTCCCAGTGGTAGAGCTGGGAGAAGCTGGGAGTCAGAGCTGGTTCTTCATCTCAGCATTGTTTTCTTAGGTTCCTTTATTACTAGTTCATCATATCTTCACAACTTTGTTCCATCTTTGCAGAAGTGAGAACCGAGACTCAGAGGGGTTAAATACCTTACTCTAGGACACATAAATCAATAAATCATATGTTATACCCTAGATTGGAGCCTAAGTCTTCTGACTGTAAGGCTGGACCTTGCTTTCTTTCTTCTTCTTTTTTTTTTCTTAATAAAATCTTTTAATTGAAGTATAGTTGATTTACAATGTTGTGTTAACTTCAGGTGTACAGCACAGTGATTCAGTTTTATATATATATTCTTTTTCAGATTCTTTTCCCTTATAGGTTACTACAAAATATTGAGTATGATTCCCTGTGACATGTAGTAGGACCATGCTTTCTGATTGAATCCCTGACTCTTGGTCAATACATTTGACAGCCCCTGAAGCTGTGAGTCTAGCAACCAGCCCATGTAGTCTCTGTGCTTCTCTGGTATACAACATGGAGCTGTTGCTTTTATAGTAAAGTGTAAAATCAGGGCCAAGAATGACTTCAGGGCATTAACCATGCATATCAAGTGAAATTCTATTGAGAAGATTTTCTGAGTAGGGTGAAATTTTGTGAAAGTGACAACTTCATTACAAATTTGTTTTCCTTACAAATAAGTTGAATGCAAAAATTCTTTTATAATATAATTGCTCAGGGACATTGTTATTTTTCCTCTTAGGTCATTGCTAGAATCGTGGATGGAAGCAGATTCAATGAATTTAAAGCCTTATATGGAGACACATTAGTTACAGGTATAAAGATGAAGAACTGAAAATGTGAACGTTTTATGCTGCTTTGAAAATAAGTGATCTCTTGTCTCACGGCCCTGATGCACTTGGCATGGGCTTTGTTATTTAGAGCAGTATAAACGTGTGAGTCAGTACTCAAAAGGAGCTATTTTGTAAAGATCAGTTGTAGCTGAATGCCTTCATGGATCCAGAATTTAAAATGATGAGGGCAAGATGCTCTGGTCCAGACCATTATTCTGTGACTTTGTAGCATTAGCTGTATAAAAAGGCTCTTATCATAGTAAAATTAACAAAAATATTTGTAGTTTTAAAAATTTCTCTGGATGACTATAATTATTTTGAAAATTTCAGCCCTGTCTTCTTTATTCTTTAGTCTTCAATTCGACTGTGAAGTTTCGTGTGATGTTTTAGTTTCCCAGAAGACTGTAGACTGAGTTAAACCTTCTCACCGCCTCTGTGTAGGTCTTATGTTGATCCACATAAAGACTAGATTGAGAATACAGGACAGAATACCAAGTCTGAAAAAACAAAATAAGAATGTTTATAAAGTTAATTCATTCACCTAAACTGTTAGGTTCGTAGGCCTTTGAAGAAATATTTGAAACATAGACACCAGGTCCATAGTAATCTATTTTGGACAAACGGCAAAACAAATTTGGGCATTTTACTTGGTCTTAAAGAAGCTCCAAAATGTAGTAGTTAATCTGAAGACAGCATACCAGAGTAGAAAAAACAACCAGCTGCAAAAATCCAAATTGCAAATATACATTGAGGCTTAAGGATAAGTCACAGCAGTTTCTCCTGGTCTGATTTATGAGCAAGAGAAGGGTTCACACTGGAAGTGGAATTTATGTGTTTGTATTTAGGTGTTTAAGTGATTAAGAGCTTTTTCTTTGATATATAGACAGGATTTGTCCCCAAATAGTTCAGGATGTAACCCTCATTGTGTAGCCGTTTAAAACAAGTCAGAACTGTTTCTGCTTCTTTCTCAGAGATGGATGGGCTGGCTTTGTCATCTGTTTTTATGTATTTGCCCTGGACTTGCTAAAATACTTGTGGTACCTTTGCTCCCTAAAATACCAGGGGTAGATCTACCAGATGGTAGATCTCCATCTCTTCTTGTCTGTACTGGAATTCAAATAAGGTTTGGGTCGGGGGGGGGGGGGGGGGGGGGGGGGGGGGGGGGAGGGAGGGATGGGGGGGGGGAGGGGGAATGAGAGGGTGAGGAGGTAGTAAGAGAGGATGAAAGGGGGCATGAGGGGGAGGGGGCATGAAAGGAGGAGGGAGGGATGAATGCGGGGGCCATGAGTGAGTGAGGGAGTGAGGAGGGAGAAGGACAGAGTTTTGTAAGGATCAGGTGTCTGGCAGTTCTTACAGCTTTCCTCCTGCCCCCGCACTTGCCATAGGTAGGCCTAGGAGTTTCGTAGACATTTTGCTTTCTTGTTTGGCCGATAGGAACTTGGTGAAGGTGCTCCCTCCATGGGTGACCCTAGTGTAGTGGGGCATGCGCCCTACTCAGCAGGACTAAGGGTGGATGGAAAGTTTAAACAGCTCACAGGGCAGAACACCTTCAGGGGTAGCACCGTGCTGCTGAGACACGTGCTGGATTCCCAGCTCTTTTTATGGGATGGGTCAGGACCCAGAGTGGATTGTTAGAACTTTGGGGAGGTTTGCCCCTTTCTGAATTGCCTCTGTAAGTGGCAGTGCCATTTAGGATGTGTAGCCTAGGGTTTGGGCTGGGATTTTAGGTCTGAAAGACCAAGAGAAATCAAGGTGACCGGCAAATCAGTGTTTCATTTTAACATATTAAATAAACATAAGGATTTTAAAAAATAAATCAAGGCAAAGCCAGAGTAAAGAACAAAAATAAGTTAAAAAATTCGGTGTTCTGGCTTGTCAGTAGGTTGACATTCTCTCTTATCCATTCATTCTTCGAGCACCTGCTTTGTGTTGGGCGGCCCACGCCAGGGGTCTTAGTGGCAGCCTGTCCAAGCTTGAGCTTGGACACAGAGCCTGATCCAGGAACTTTGGCATTGAGCTTCCTGTGACCCCTCTCACAAGCACAGTTTGTTGACACTTGGCTTCCAAGTATTTGACACCTATTTATAGTCAAGTAGGTTTGTTGAAAATCACTCTTGGGAATGTCTCTAGTCACGTCCTTCATATTTACAAAATAGCCTCCTGGAATCACCTAAAGTGTCTACTTCACAAAATAACAGGGTTTTCTTCCCCCTTTCTCTTCTCTCTTATTTCTCGTGTGTGTGTGTGTGTGTGTGTAGTGGTAGTGGAAGTGATATTGAGACGAAAACCAAACTTGTGGAAAGGAGAAAGAAAAAGATACAAACACAGAGAAAATGAAAGTGTAGTGATTTATTCCTCTAAGCTTAACTGGATTTCTTACCTTAAACTCAGTTACCACCAGGCTTGACTGCATTCCTGCTTTTTAAAAAAGTTTGTCTTTGCTGAATTTATCCCTTTTATTTCAAGGGCCTGTCATTACCTCAGGCGTTTTAAGGCAAGCTAGGCACCTGAAACTGGCCGATGGCTCTGAACATTGACCTTTAAAGGGATCTGTGTCTGATTTGTTCTATATCAGAATACCCTTTGTATCTGGTACATAGTAGGCACTCATATATGTTACATGAATGAACGGATGACACTAATCCAATCATCTAACCAAACTGGTTGGTCAGACAAGTGGATAACTTTATATGTAACACACCCCTTTCAAGAAAGCAAAAAACCCAGCCTCCAGTACCTTAGAAATAAATTATGCCATGAGCTATTTTGTACCATAGACGAAATCTCTACATTTTAAACATCGATTTGAAATTAAACAATGTATAAATATGTCTGTTTGTTGTGAATTAAAAGCCCTCTGAAATATATACATCTTTTTTTCAATTTTCTTTTGAGGATTTGCTAGAATATTTGGATACCCAGTAGGTATCGTTGGAAACAATGGAGTTCTCTTTTCTGAATCTGCAAAAAAGGCAAGTACTGTTAAAAATGTTTCAAGGTTTTTCTGTTTTAATTTAAACATTATCAAGTAATGAATGAAAATTATTGCATAAAAGCTTTAAAATATTTAACCAGATGCCTTAGCAAACAGAACATTGTGTGCCTATACCTGTGAACATGTATGTGTGTGCGTGTTAAATGTTTGAAACAGCTTTAGGGAGGTTTACGTGAATATGATGAACTGTCTTGAGCACTGTTAAAAATAGAAATGTTTGTTTTAGGAAAGTTCTTTTAATACTTGAATTATAACTGCTGTGGATGATGTATACATTTTCTAAGAATATAGGAATACTTGTCTTGAAAGTGTTTCATGCATTCGAGGGGTTCAAACATACTGTTCATATGGTTCTGAGACATGACCTGCTCTATTCTATCCCATAATCCGTTTAACTTGATTATATTTTCACTTTTTGGAAACGGAAAGATAGTGGGTCTTGTTACTGAAGCTCTGGTTTTAAAAGAGGGAATTCATGAATATATTTTGGCTTAGTATTCAATTTCATACATCATTGTCTCAGATTTACCTAAACTTGGATAAAATGTAATTCATGTACTTATTTGATAAAATATTTTCTTAAGAAAATAAAAAAGTTTAGCCCTGTTTTTCCTCTTCAAATGATAGAGTGAATAACAGGGTAAAAGTTCTCTTACTGAGGCAGGTAACAGGCAATTAAGCACTTTCATACCCTAATTAGGAAGAATTTGTCTTTGGCAGAATGTTTTATTAGTAAAGTTAGTTTCTGGATTTTGCTATTCATTATTGTTCCCCCACTGAGATTATAAGACGAAAATAAGAGAGTAAAAATAAAGAAAATAAAAGTCACCTACATTCGTGCCAGAAATAACCTCGAGTAACATTTTATTATGGTTCCTTAGTTTTTTCTATTCCTCCTCTTTTTTTAAACAAAATTGGTTTTGCCATATATAGGGAAGTTTTGCTGGTTTTCACTTAATAGTATGTATAGTGAGCGTTTCCAAAGTATTAAATATTTCTAATACACTGACTTTTTAAAAAAAATTTATTTAATTTATTTATTTTTGGCTGCATTGGGTCTTTGTTGCTGAGTGCAGGCTTTCTCTAGTTGCGGTGAGTGGGGGCCACTGTTCGTTGCGGTGTGCGGGCTTCTCATTGCGGTGGCTTCTCTTGCTGCGGAGCACGGGCTCTAGGTGTGTGGACTTCAGTAGTGGCTCGTGGGCCCTAGAGCGCAGGCTCAATTGTTGTGGCGCACAGGCTCATTTGCTCTGTGGCATGTGGGATCTTCCCGGACCAGGGCTCGAACCCGTGTCCCCTGCATTGGCAGGTGGATTCTTAACCACTGAGCCACCAGGGAAGCCCCTAATACACTGACTTTTAATGACTATATAATATACTTATTTCAATAGAAGGTATGTCAGACTGAGGCCAACAAACACCGCCTTGTTTTATTTGTTGGCTTGTCACAGATAAATCCAGGAGGAGAGCTATGTTTGGCCTCTGTCTGACATTTCATTTGTTGAGGTAAGCCCCACAAGTCTGTGTGATTTCCTCGTTCTCGTATTTGAGGTCGAGCAATTGCTTTGCAATCTTGTACTTGCCAAGGCATTTCCAGCTAAGTTAAAGGCATCTGCAAATAGAGAGTAAAATATAAAGGAAACAGCTTTAAGCGTTTTCTTACTCACATAATCTTTAGAAGATAGGGAAAGGAATAGTTATATATATATATATATTTTTTTTTTTTTTTTTTTATTATTATTATTTTTTTTTGCGGTACGTGGGCCTCTCACTGTTGTGGCCTCTCCCGTTGCGGAGCACAGGCTCTGGACGTGCAGGCTCAGTGGCCATGGCTCACGGGCACAGCCGCTCCACGGCATGTGGGATCTTCCCAGACTGGGGCATGAACCCGTGTCCCCTGCATCGGCAGGCGGACTCTCAACCACTGCGCCACCAGGGAAGCCCCTGGAATAGTTATATTTTTGTGTCATTAAATAACTAATTTCCTAAACTCAAGGTTAAAAGGTGTCTAGCACTCATCTAAAATCCCATTTGGGCTTCCCCGGTGGCGCAGTAGTTAAGAATCTGCCTTCCAATGCAGGGGACACGGGTTCGAGCCCTGGTCTGGGAAAATCCCACATGCCACGGAACAACTAAGCCTGTGTGCCACAACTACTGAGCCTGAGCTCTAGAGCCCGCGAGCCACAACTACTGAAGCCCGCACACCTAGAGCCTGTGCTCTGCAACAAGAGCAGCTACTGCAATGAGAAGCTTGCGCACCGCAATGAAGAGTAACCCTCGCTTGCTGTAACTAGAGAAAGCCCACGCGCAGCAATGACGACCCAATGCAGCCAAAAAAAAAAAAAAAAAACCCCTTTATTTCAAGTATGTTGGTAAGAAAGATATTTTTACTATAATCTTGGTGCGTGAAAGAATTTCAAGTGATCATCAAAACATAGGTATCCCAGAAGGGTTTATATTCTATCTTTTTTAAAGTGGAGAACCAGAGAATTGCCTTCTGGTGAGGCTCAGAAATTCTCATTGACAAGCAATTCCTTCTTCTCTGTTCCTGAAGTTTCACTTGCTGTTTGGAATATTAGTGGTTGACTTCATCTCTGATACAGGAGTTGGCCTGCAGTCATGTGCCAGTGATCACACAGGTGCCTGTGCAAAACAGTGCAAATTGTAATCACGTTCCATTGACAGTGGGTCCCCATGCTAGTATTATTATTACTGTTACTATAAGGTCAGACTAGCCAAGCAAAGGGTACTCTTTCTTTGACCCAAATGTGTTGCTTGCAGGGTAAATGATGATTAAATTTGCTAACCTCCCACTAAAAAGATTTTTATTTTATTTGCTTATAGGGAGCTCATTTTATCCAGTTATGCTGCCAAAGGAATATCCCTCTGCTGTTTCTTCAAAACATTACTGGTAAGAAAATGGCTTGGACTTCCCTGGTGGCCTCACAGTGGTTAAGAATCCGCCTGCTAATGCAGGGGACACGGGTTTGAGCCCTGGTCCGGGAAGATCCCACATGCCACAGAGCAACTAAGCCCGTGCGCCACAACTACTGAGCCTGTGCTCTAGAGCTTACGAGCCACAACTACTGAGTCCATGCCGCAACTACTGAAGCCTGCATGCCTAGAGCCCGTGCTCCGCAACAAGAGAAGCCACTGCGATGAGAAGCCCGTGCACTGCAACGAAGAGTAGACCCTGCTGTCAGCAATTAGAGAAACCCTGCACGCAGCAACGAAGACCCAACGCAGCCAAAAGAAAAAGAAAAAGAAAACAGCTTAACCAGTTTGGGTGCATTTATTCAAGAGCTGCAGTGTCCAGTATGGCTCATGTATTGGACAGTGCAGACATAGAATGCTTCCATCATAACAGAAAGCTTTATTGGACATGCTCTCTCTAGATTATCTTTAAAGGTTAACACTTCAAGAATCTTAAGTATTTGGGGGAATTTATCCATGTTTTTGAGTGAAGCAGTTTCTGAGTTTCAAGTGTATCAAACATTTGAGTGGCCTTCCTTTACTCCTGCACATGTGCACCCACCCACCCAGAAAACAGCAGAGTGTTCTCAGCCAGTAACACTCTCATTAGTGCTGGAGGGTGTTATCTGACCCATGGTCTCTTTCCCAGTACTTTGTTCCCCATAAAGGATTTTAAGTACATGCTGTGGTCCTCCCTTTTCCTTATCTTTCATCGTGCAGTTAATTCTACCTGAAGCAACATCTTAAATGGACATGCACATCCTGAACCAAAGTCTGGGATTTGAGGTGTTTCTTTTAAGATTATTTATTTATTTATTTAATTTTTGGCTACGTCGGGTCTTAGTTGTGGCACGCAGGCTCTTTCGTTGCGGCGCGCGGGCTTCTCTCTAGTTGTGGCGGGGGGTTTTCTCTCTCTAGTTGTGGCGCGCAGGCTCTGTGGCACATGGGCTCCAGAGTGCATGGGCTCTGTAGTTTGCAGCATGCAGGCTCTCTAGTTGAGGCACACGAGCTCAGTAGTTGTGGCGCACAGGCTTAGTTGCCCTGGCATGTAGTATCTTAGTTTCTTGACCAGGGATCAAACCCGTGTCCCCTGCATTGTAAGGCAGATTCTTTACCACTGGACCACCAGGGAAGTTCCGTGATTTGTGTTTTGACTCCAGAGAATGATAAGACCGATGTCAACTGTCTGATTTCATGTTCCATGGGTGATCCTAACATGGCAGGTGAAATGATTTTTAAGGGCTCTTAGGGTTCTAGAGTTCTTCTTCCTGGCATTCTATGATTCTCCTATTTATACTTTTTGTGTGTTGCATGGTGCCTGACAGATAGGAGGCACTCCGATATGTTGATTAGCTAAAAAAAATGTTTCCCCCAGCCTTCTAAGTCAGGGGTTCCCACCCCTGGGCCGCGGACTGGTACTGATCCATGGCCTGTTAGGAACCAGGCCGCACAGCAGGAGGTGAGTGGTGGGCGAGGGAGTGAAGCTTCCTCTGCTGCTCACCGTGGCTCACATTACTGCCTGAGCCTTCCCCACCGCCCGCCGCCACCCCACTCGTGGAAAAATTGTCTTCCATGAAACCGGTCCCTGGTGCCAAAAAATGTTGGGGACCACTGTTCTAAGTCATGTGTGGTTATCTCAGGTTCAAAGGAAGAAGTACTTAATTAGTTGTTGGAATCAGGCATGCCTTTATGAGAAGGAGTTTGGCCTTGGCAATCAGCAGGGCTTTACATAATACTGGTGCTAAAACATCTTCATCTGGTGCTGTTCTTAAGTTTAAGATATCTGGTTAGATGACTCCTGAGAGGAGTTATATCCAGGTGGCAGCCAGAGAGGGCCCTATGTGGCAAACCTTCTAAGAGGGCAGGTAAAAGTACTCTGAAGCTTCATTAGGCCAGAAACCTTGTTTCTAATAATGACTCATGATTTATTAACCACCAGTAAGTTAGACCATGTGCTTGGAAGATTCCTACATTTTCGCTGTGCTTTATTTTTTGTTGGGTTGGGGTCAGAGAGCAGAGTTTGAGTTTGGTTTTTCAACATTGCATTTGAGGGACCTCAAATGTATCCATTTGGAAATATATGGTGGGCAGTTGAAAAGTCTTGAGCACCGAAGAGGTGTGTTAGCTGGAGGCAAACGTGGAGACAGCCTTAGAATGTGGATATGGTGTTTAAAGCTGTGGGAATAGATAACACCCAGAGAGAAGAGAAAGGGCTCAGGGATAATCTTTGAGTAACTCTAATTTCTTCCACAGAGATGAGAGTAAAGGAAGAAAGGCAGCATGATTATGTTGTTCTTTATGGTGAGAAACAGAAGGGTTAGAGAAAGCCAAGTGAGATGGCCTCGGTCTTCTTTTTCAAGGCAAAATCACTCACGGGGACTAGAGGCACAGGGGGGTGATAGGGTGGTGGGTGGTGGGTGAGGGCTTTTAAGGAGAGTCGATATTTGAGATAGCTATTGTGGGAATGTTACAGGGAGTCGAGATAAAATAGATAAAGGAGTCTCTGAGCTATTCTGAGGGCCCAGTTCAGAGGGCAGGGAGGTGACCAGAGGAAGCAGATGGTGCCTGGTGGGGGCAGGGCTTGTTACATCAGTACTATTGTATCCACAGCAAGTACAGGTGATCCATAAAAAATGGTTTAATTGAATTGGATTACCCATTGCTGGAGATTTGCAAAGCAAGAACAGCGACCATCACGTAGGCCTGTGCGTCTATGGGTGTGGAGGGAGACAAATGAAGCCTGATTCAACGTTTATAAGGTGAAGAGGAAGAACCCCAAGGCCTGGAAAGCGCAGTGACGCTGCAGGCCAGTTTCAACAGAGCCGGGGGTGGGAGCTTGGAGAAGTAGAAGGATCCTATAATTATCATGAGAATTCTTTTATCTTGCTATTGAGTCGCTGACAGGGACTCAGCATCTCTATGAAACATTAATTTTATTTCATCATAGTTTTAAAGCAGTGCTTCAGAAGGAATAATCTATATTTTAAACCAGGTCAGTGAATCCTAAAGTCCTCACAGTTGGGCTTGCCATAGTACTTTTTCCTTAGCTTGCCATATCCTGTTCTTTCATCACCAAGCTGTTGTTCTGAGATAATTTCTTGAAGATACGTTGCATTCTTATCTTGTTTGAGGATCTCTGTGTGCATCCAGATGAACCACGTAAACAATTTTTTAAATGATTAGAGAAAATTTTATTTTACCTTTTAATGCAAATTTGTGGGGGGCATATTTCACATATAAATATTTTATTAGGGTGAGAGGCCTGTGGTAAAATATAAGGTTGGCAAGACGTCCTTCTAGTACCTTGGTGAAAATGACTTCTGCACACTAATCTCATCACCCTGAGGCTCTCTTTCTGTTCTCACAGGATTTATGGTTGGTAGAGAGTACGAAGCTGAAGGAATTGCCAAGGATGGCGCCAAGATGGTGACTGCCGTAGCCTGTGCCAATGTGCCAAAGATAACTGTCATTATCGGGGGCTCTTACGGGGCTGGAAACTATGGGATGTGTGGCAGAGCATTTAGGTAGGTGGTTGTCATGATTTTCTCTGAAAGCATGAATCATACTTCAAGGATCATTATGAATGGTCAGTTTACGTCAAGGCTATTTGAAATACAGAATGACATTCACAAATCTTAATCAGTTATACCATAATCTGTATCATCTGGAGGCGTGAAATGAAATTTAATGCTAAAAGTACCACTTGGAAGAAATCCACAGTGGGAATCAGGAAATATTTTGGAATGGCTGATAATGAAAATACTACATGTCATAACTTGTGTGATGTGTCTAAAGTCTTGCTTTGAGACAGGTGTGTAGACTTAATTGTATATTATATACTGGAAGAGAAGTAAGGCCGAAAATCAGTGAGCCAAGCAGCCAGCTGAAGAGGTTCAAAGAAGAGCAGCATATTACAACAAGAAAAATAAAAACAGGACATAATAAAGTACAAACATTATAAAGATAGAAGAATCAGGAAAGCCCAAAGTTGCTTTGTTTAAAAGGGTTAACAAACTTGAGAATCCCCTGTTAAAACTAAAAAATAAAGGGAGAAGGCACATATCACCAATTTTAGGAATGGGAAACAGCACATAACTGCACATAATGAGAGGATATTTTGAATACTTTTTTGCCCAGTAAATTTGGATGAAATGGAAAAATACTATTTATCAAAACAGACGTCAGAATCACCTGGAGAACTTAAAAATTCTACCATGCTGAAGCCCCACTGCTGGAGATTACTCTGCGGTGGGTTCTAGGCATTGTTTTTTTTTTTAATCCCCAGATAATTGTAATGCACAGCCAGAATGAAGAACCACTGATTTAAAAGGTAAACATGGGCCTCTGAAAATCTCTGTGTAGTACAGTGAATTCATTTGATCATTCTTTCCTTTTTCCCCCCATAGCCCAAGATTTCTCTACCTGTGGCCAAATGCTCGCATCTCAGTGATGGGAGGAGAGCAGGCAGCTAATGTGCTAGCGACAGTAGCAAAGGACCAAAGAGCACGGGAAGGGAAACAGGTAAATGCTGTTTCGTTGTCTCCAGGTTTGACTTTCACCAGAACACGTGGAGCCAGGGAGCAGCATACCCAAAACCCCTCCAAGTTTGTGGCTAGGATTCCAACATTCAGGGCCTGGCTTTATCTAGAAGACGCTGACCTGGAAATTGTTTTAGCAACTTACACTTATACATTCTCCATTTCTCTTTCTAGAGCCATTTCACTTGAAGTACCTTCTTGTGGTAATTTACAAACTTTTCAGAATCTCCAAGAAAACACTTAACAAACTCTTTTGTCTCTGGGTGCCTGAGGCATAAAGATGTTTGATTCTTAGTCATTTGCAGTTCGTGAGATTTAAATAAATCTGACTTATGTCTTTGATTTTATGACCTAAAGCAGCAAAATTTTGTGTTTCCTATTTTACTTTTAGATTGTTGTTAAGGATACCTCTAGTGGGAGGGCCCCGTTGTGTAATGAGAATTGAATACCATTATTATACCGTGAAAGTATCAATGAAGAAGGAGGGAAAGGGCACTGGAAGCTTAATGAAAAGCAAATCAGCAAATAACTGCTTTTGAGATGGATTCTTTCGTTTGTGTCTCTATTAGAGATTCATCTGAAATTTTGCATTACATTTTATTATAACTTACAACTATTTTATGTAAACAGCAGGCCTATAAAATGATTGGTGCATGTTCCTAAAGTTGCTTAGGTGCACTGTTTCATCGTAACGAGGCATAATGTGGAGGAGGCCCTGCCTTCTCAGGCTCTCACTTCTGCCATTTAGAGATTGATCATCTGGTCAACCGCCTAGTTTGTAGAGTGGGGATAATATAAAGCCAGAGGGTGGTTCCTGCCTCCCTGAATGTATCTCATCCGTGCCTCACATCCCCAGCTATCTTTTCCAAGCAACAGTAACTCTGCAGACTTAAGTTGAAGTTTCAGATGCACTTTAGTACTAACTAGTATCCAAGCCAGAGGAAAGTTTTACTTTTGTGTGTATGTAGTGGGGAGTGGGGGATATGAAATTCTACCTGATATTTTGAAGGCATGTCTTAAATTCTAGCCCAGCATGGCGATATCTTATTAAATAGTTGTGTTTTGATTAATTTGATATACAGATATATGAATTCATCTATTTTTATATGTGAAAGGAAAGTATAGGATTTTAGTGGTTCTCCCTCCAAATTCTGGACCTATAAATGATATTAAACGACGGAAGTACATAAAAGGTTGGATTTATTTGAAAAAAGAAATCACTTGGTTTTTGGTGTGGAATATTTTTTAAGTTGGAAATACTTTTCAGGATTTCAAAATTAGTTTGCATAAAGATTTTAACATGTGAATTATCACTTGTTTCTGGCAATACGGATAGGCAAGCCATTACATTTTTGATTAGGGAAAAATCTCTCTCAGCCATCTGGAAAATTGAAGAGGTTATTTAAAATGGGCCTTATTGTTTTATCCCTTTAAGCTTTAAAATGTTTAAAATTTTAGCTATTTTGAATGAAAATACCCTACATTTCCACCTCCTTATACAGAAACTGCAAGATGTAATATAGCCCTTTGTTATATTGTATAATTCACATCCATTGCTATACCCTGCTGGAATATGTGATACCTTTGATTTTGACCTGACATTAAACAGCCTCAGGACATTGGCTCTGATAAGGGAGATATAACAGCACACTAATTTGATACTCATGTCTCAGGTGAGATCATGTATGTTAGAGCATCACACGTAATCTATACATCAGTGTGCAGAGGTGTTGGTTGTAACATTATCGTTGATGAAATCTGTTGCCCCTTTTTTCTTGAGGTTCTCTTGAGTGGATCTGTTGTTCCCCTGCAGCGGACTTACTCATTGTCGCTTTTCTTTCAGTTCTCCAGTGCTGATGAAGCAACTTTGAAAGAGCCCATCATTAAGAGGTTTGAAGAGGAAGGAAACCCTTACTATTCCAGTGCAAGGTGAGAGCCAGAGAATAACTGACTCCTTGATGGGCACATCTTGGCAGTCAGGGCAGCAGCTTTACAGAGATTTGAGCAGTTGGCATGGTCCAGCCCTCATGGGAACCAAAAAATAACATTTGGACACAATTTTGTACTGTTGTTTCTATAATGGGAATGCTTACTGCTGAAATGCTGCCCCTTCTCCCAGGCTGGGCTTTGGATCCATCACTATTGGTCTGATTCTGCCACTCTCCACCCCTCTTCCCTTATCCCGCTCCTAGTTGAAGTGGTCCAAGGCCTGCAGGAGCACTGTGGCCAGAGGTGGACCGCACTGGGGCTGGGAAGATGAGAATTATAGTCCTGGCTGTGTCACTTTCAGGAATTAGTTCTGCAGTAATGGGTTCCTGTCATCCCCCTCTCTGATTATTTTGTTTTTACCCCATTTAAAGATGAAAATGGTTGAACACTTACTGACACTTGTTAACAAGTGAGCTTGTGCATTCAGAAGGTGATTATTCATAGCCAGGATCCACATGTCAACACTAAGCAACTACCTCACACGCCATGGCGGTTCTTATTCTGTTTGTTTCTTACACCACTTAAATGAGGTAATAAATTATCACAGCTGTCCCTGTTGGAGACATGCGTGTGCTTTCATACCTCTTTTTTCAACAACTTCAATGTTCTACATTCTGAAGAATAGTTGAAGCTTCATGTTTTTCTTTTATCCCTTGGGCAGATGGAAAAAAGAAAATAACTATTTGTGTCCTTTAAAAATTGGGTTATGCTGTGATTTATGCCATTTATTGTGAAGGCAGACTGGAGAGGAAGGGGAAAAGAAAATCAAACGTTAAAATCCATGTCAGTTCCTCAAATGCATCTTTTGTGGCAGGCACTGCTCCTGATGTTGGGGGGCAGGAAAGATTGAACATATTTATTTCTCAGAGCATAATTAGTTTCAAAATTCAATTAATACCATTTGGGATTTTTGAAAAGCCTGTTTCTCTTCTTGTTAACATGTATTTCTGCAAGCAAATGTACAGGTATATTTTGCTGTGGTGGTCATTGATTCTCTTAATTAAGAACAAAATATTTTGTAGTCTTTGATTTAAGAAATAAACGTTCTTTTTACCATCACTTAAATAGGCTTACGTAGTAGCCAGTAGAAGCAAAGAGGAAATAGAAAATCATATAAAAGGTTAAAGAGAAAATATACATTGTAAGCTCACCTATAGTTTTTTGTTTGTTTTTACATAAGACTTTGAAATTCACAAGGGCAGTTAGAGTATTAAACTTTAAAAAACAGCATATTTTGTGTGAACCATTAATTTGTTTTTCAGCCCTGGCTAAGTCATCTCTTAAGAAAGACTGAATCCTTTATTATTTTCATACTTAGATTATTATTGTTTTTAGTGGATTATATTCAAGACGAGAGCATATGGCCCAGATAGACTTATCTTTGGAAATTAATATTGAAAAACAAGGTTTTTCTTTTAATTTATAGATGTTTGTTTAACCCTTCTGTTGAAACAGTTGGTGGCATGGAGACACCAACTTTGTTTCAAAGATGAAAGGATTTTCAAGCCAGTTTATGGCACCTTCCTTTGGTTTAATAAATCTCAGCTTAGCAATAAAATTCTGTGGTCTGTTTGGGCTTTAACGTGGCTAGACCTGTCTTTTTGGAGAGCTCTGTCATCATCTTTACAGTACTGCAACCTCCTATGTTTTTCTTAATCCTTACATGCTACACGTACAGCCTGCCGATTTTCTTCTGCTCAGTTGTTTTTATAATCAAACTTTTCCAGACATTTGATTAGGGCCTCTTACCTGGAACAGCCCCAGCACCATCGTGCTTGCTATATTACTCTGCTGGAGGCTTCAGAAGGGAGTGTAATCAATTGACTGGGTTACAAACTACAAGAGTAATATATTTTTTTTTTTGGCTGTTGATACTTTAAGATCCCTATTATGAATATTTTATGAGCAATGATTTCATTCACGGTCTGTTGATGTAAGTATGGTTTAATAATGGATGCTATGTCCAGATACTGAAGGCAGTTTGTTTAAAGAAAGCAAAACTACCATCCACTAATGACCTTTAAAAAACAATATTTCTTACTCATTTTTTTTTATAAATGTGAGGTTGTCCATGAAAAGCAAACTAAGATTTCTACTTGAGTTTCTTCTGAAAGCAGTTTAAAGCCATTACTTGTTTTTCCTATTGTAGCAAAAAATAAAGAACTACATATGAAGGTATTTATTTTATTAATAAAATGTACTGAAGTCTATTCAGTAATTTTCCTAGTTTCTTAAGAGTTTGGGGGAATATACCTTTTCTAGTAGGGACTTTGGTTGGAGAATGTTACCTTGGTTTATGTGGTTCTTCATAATAATAACAGTAATATATCAACTTGACTTGTATGTTTGTGTGGGCGGAGGAGGGACAGGAAAGCTTTTCCTGAAATAAATAAAACCAGGGTTTATTTTGAAGTTCCTTGTAGTAAGCTGTTCCTAAAGCTGTGTAAGAGTCATGTTATTTTTCTTTCTCTCTTTATTCCCCTCTTGAACATTGTTTCCATTGCGAGATTATAGTAGCTAATCAGTAGATCCACATATTACCTGAAGGAAAGCCTCCTCAGCATTTTTGGCCATAGGGTGTATAAATGGTGGTTCGGTGGTGGACTCCTGATCGCTCGGTTTTTGTTCTTTTGTCAGGCTGTGGGATGACGGGATTATCGATCCAGTGGACACCAGGCTGGTCCTGGGTCTCAGTCTTAGTGCAGCCCTCAACGCACCCATCCAGAAGACTAACTTCGGTATCTTGAGGATGTAATTGGAATATAAAGCATCTTCCGTTGGACATGTACCAAAAATTAATAAATTAGTAGCCTTAAAATTTTAGACTTTTTCAATATGTGGCTATTACAGTAAAATGGTTTTCTTAACACAGTGCATTATACTTTTCTACCTTTAAAAAAAGAATCAGTGAAGATATTTATTTGATGCAGCTCAATTCCTTGTAAATTCTCTTAGAGAAATTTTTCTATGGCTCAGCTTTACCGCCCTGAAAAGGAAGAGAATAACTTAGGGTTATCCTTTCTAAGCCATAAGTACTATGAAAAGTTCTGTAATCTGTAAATTCCAGGTATTGTTGAGATTTTTAACATAAAGTTGTATTTCCACTGAACTGATCGCGTTGCAGATTATGCATGGTGATATTTTAATGTACTTTAAAAAATAAACGTCTGTTACTTTTCCCTCCAGCCACCACCGTCCTCCTCTCCATAGTTGTCAGGCTTCTTGTCTGCACTCTGGGCTCTGTTTCCTACCCGTTCTCTCCTTACCCTCTCGTTTTCTGGCTTCTACTGCCAACAGCCCTCTCCACGGTCACCACTGACCTCCATGTTCCTGAAACCAGTGGGTCGTTTTCCGATTTTACCTGATTTAATTCTCTGGCGCATTCAAATCAGTCAGACACTTCCTCCTAGAAATTCTGTCCTTAGCTTCCATTGCTGTAACACTCTAGGTTTTCCACCAGCCTCCGTGGCCATTCTTGTTCAGTTTCCTTTGCAGGCCCCACTTCCTCTGCTCATTCCTCCTTCCCTTTACCATTTGTCTTGATTTTTCATTAGTCATATGTGAATGCATTCTTATTCTGAAAGATACAAATAGCACAAAAGTATCTCCTTATTGTTTAATTATTCTTATTAAAATAATAATTGTGGTAAAATATACATAACATTTTAACCACTTTTTTGTGTGCAGTTCTGTGACATTGAGTACATTTACATTGCCACCATCCATCTCCAGAACTTTTCATCATCCCCAATTGAAACTCTATTATTAAACAATAACTCCCCATTCTCTCTTCTCCCTACCACTGGCACATTTCCTTTTTCCTTTTTTTTAATTGAGATATAATTGAATATAACATTATATTAGTTTCAGGTGTACAACATAATGATTCAATATTTATATACACTGCAGATGATCACGAAAATAAGTCTAGTTACCATCCGTCATCAAGCACAGTTACAGACTTGTCTTTTTTTTTCCTGTGATGAGGACTTTTAAGATTTACTCGCTTAGCAACTTGCAAATATGCAGTACAGTATTAACTATAGTCGCCATGCTGTACGTTACATCCCCAGGACAAGCTGGAAGCTTGTACCTTTTGACCCCCTACACTCATTCTGTCCACCCCATGCCCCTCTCCTTTCTGGCAAACACCAGTCTGTTCTTTGTATCTATAAGCTTGGTTTTCTGTTTTGCTTTGTTTGTTTTGTTTTTTAGATTCCACATCTAAGTGAGATCTTATGGTGTTTGTCTTTCTCTGTCTGACTTACTTCACTTAACATAGTGACCTCAAGGTCCATCCGTGCTGTTGCAAATGGCAAGATTTCATTCTTTTTTATGGCTGAATTTTATTCCTCCTCATCCTTGAATGTATGTGTTTTACATGGCTTGATTAATTCTCGCTGGGCCATTTCAGCCCTTCGTATTGTTTTAGTTGCCATCTGAATGGGGATGATTCCTGTGTTGACAGTTCTTAACATAGTTCTCCCCTGAGCTCCAGACCTGTCTATCTAACAGGTCTCAGGAACCTCAGACTCAATCATCAAGTTCTGTTGATTTTGCCTCCTAACTGTCTCTTGAATTCCCCTACTATTTTTTTCTTTTATGCAGGCCTTAGAAGGGGTCTACCTGCATCCAGTCTTACCTAGTCCAATCTCTCCATCACTCTGGAATTAGAATGGCCATTCTAAGGTGCACATCTGTCATGCTGCTTCCTTCCTTCTTTCACTGGTTCCCTGAAGTGCCAAACCCCTAATGGCCTCCATGGATCTTGATCCTCAGCTCTTCAGTCTCATCTCCCTGACTCCTCTTTTCACACTGGGTGCTCCACCCATTCTAGACTTCTTCCAGTTCCTTAAACCTACGAAGTCCTTGCCCCCTTAGAGTCTACGAGGTTCCCTGTGCCTGAACTGTTCTCTCCTCCCTTCTACTTAAACACCTATCTTTTGTCTCTGTGATTTCCCTGGGCTGGGTTAGACACCTGTTGTATGCCCTTGTAGAGCACCATCTTCTTCCTCTGTCACTTTCTCTGTCTTATATGTTTATAAGAAGTATAAACATTTCTTTAATATTGCCCTCCTGCTAGAATGTAAGCTCTGTGAGAGCAGGGATCCTCCTGTTTGGCCTGTATCTCCAATGCCTGGCACTTGTAGATGCTCAAATATTTGTTGAATGAATGAAAAGTCCATATTTTAATTGTCTCCTCAGGCCACATCATTTTAAAATAAAGTGATTGATTATACGATCTAAAACAACTATCAAATGCTTTCCTAATAAAATTAATATTTCAAACATTTGTGTGTGATGTTCAGTTTAGGCTGCAGTGTGTATCAGAAGTCAGTTTAGTTTTTTTTTTTTTTTTTCTGTACGCGGGCCTCTCACTGTTGTGGCCTCTCCCGTTGCGGAGCCCAGGCTCCGGACGCGCAGGCTCAGCGGCCATGGCTCACGGGCCCAGCCGCTCCGCGGCATGTGGGATCTTCCCAGACCGGGGCACGAACCCGTGTCCCCTGCATCGGCAGGCGGACTCTCAACCACTGCACCACCAGGGAAGGCCTCAGCTCAGTTTTTTGAGAAGTATATAGATAGAAGATCATAATTCAAGGGTAAGCTGCATTTTCAGAAGAATGTTTGAGGAGGTCATGGGGAGGATGTGACTGCAGGTTGACCCCTGACCCGCTAGATGACCCCTGACCCGGAACCAGCCAGTCAATCGTTGGCTCCTCCCCCTCTCCCCTACGGAATGCCGTCCCCATAGCTTGCAGGAGGAAGCCTTGAGAGAGTAAGGTGTTGCTGAGACCACCTGGACTAAATACGTGACTGAACCCCGATAAGGCCTCTATATAAACTTTGAAGATTCTGGCTGGCGGGCGGGGAGACCCCCTCGTCTTGCGGCTGCCACCGCCAAGCCTCGTTTGTGAGTTCCCTGTCTTATTAAACCTGCCACCTCCCAACCTGGAGCGGCTGCCTCTTTCCTCAGCTCTCCTAGCCCTGCGCATATGGCGGCTAGTTTGCCAACCAACAAAGGAACACAGTGAGTATTTTTAAATAGTAAATTATATTAAAATTTCGGTTAACATTTACAACCAGGTCAGAAATCAAAATGATTTTTTATCAAGACTAGTTGGTATTCCATGGGTAGTAACCATCCACAAGTCAAAGATTCATGGATATTTTAGGAGTGTTTTTACCTTTCTCTCTTTAGGAAACATTACGGTCATCACTGGCACCACACTTAAATTAATTAAATTATTTTGTATGTTTTATCTGATACAAAACATTTGTAACATTTTACCAAAATAGGCAGCCTTTTTTGTCTGCCCTTCCGGCTTTATTTACATAGAATTGGCATTCACCATTATGTAGCTGTAAGGTATACACTGTGATGACTTGGTACACATATATTGTGAAGTGATTACCACAGTATGGTTACTTAGCACATCCATCACCTCACGTAACTACTAACTTTTTTAATGAGAATTTTTTAAACATTTTAGTTACTAAAAATAATTTCAGCCAGGATAATATGCGTAACTTAGAATTTTGAGAAATGTACAGCTAATTAGTCTCTAAATTAGCCCTTCTGGGTGCTTACAGAATGAAAGAGAGACAAAATTACTTCTATTTTTCAGTTTTCAAGAAAAATGTTTTCAAATGAGAATTTATCACACTAGCAGAAGGCACTACTGACTGTGCAAGTGAAAAACTGATCATTTACCAAACATGCATGGTTACGTGCAAGGCATGACTAGAGGCTGTATATTACATTTACAGGGGCAAGAGCAGGTTTTTGAATGATTTCATTAATAAGACTTTTGGGAGGGGAGACCACGTAGTTCTTGTTAGTTGTAAAATGTATTGATCATGGTGTTCTGGAAGGGTGATTGTTGACTGTCCTGATCAAAACTGGATCTCTAAAGATGGGCTCTGAAATTCAGTATTTAGAAAAATGGCAAGAAAATGAACTAGACACTTATGGTCTCCTGTCATTTATAACATTTATAAATGGTACAAATTAAATACAACTAATAATGATGACATTGGTTTTTTTTGTTTGAAAAAAAGCCTTTCAACAAACACTTAAAAATAATTTATTATTTCGTGTGCCTCGGATGCTCTTGTATCTGGAATCAGGATGCTAAGGATAAAGTTGTTCTTGTAGCTAAATGAAATTTCTGTCTGCCTTTGACCTTTGTAGGCAAGTGTGCATTCCAGATGAGGAGGCTTATAATCAACATGACTGTACAATTGACCATGCACTCTGGGCCGCTTGAGAGTGAAAGGGCCCTACTGCTAATAATTACACTGGGAAACAGGTGTGAGCCAGGACTGATCAGGCAGCCTGGGATGTATGGTTGCTCTCTCTGTAACTCACTATCATGGACTGAGTACTGATGTTACACATCAGGTGTTGATAATTCTTACAAGCCAGTATTCCAGATAGCTGCTTTGTAGCTTTCTTTTTTTTAAAAAAATTATTTCATTTTAAAATTTTTGGCTGCATTGGGTCTTCATTGCTGCGCATGGGCTTTCTCTAGTTGTGGTGAGCGGGGGTTACTCTTCATTGCGGTGCGCAGACTTCTCATTGCGATGGCTTCTTTTGTTACAGAGCACGGGCTCTAGGCGCACGGGCTTAGTAGTTGTGGCGCGCAGGCTCTATAGCGCAGGCTCAGTAGTTGTGGCGCACAGGCTTAATTGCTTCGCAGCGTGTGGTATCTTCCTGGACCAGGGCTAGAACCCGCGTTCCCTGCATTGGCAGGCGGATTCTTAACCACTGCGCCACCAGGGAAGCCCTGCTTTGTAGCTTTTTAGTGGCTTAAAACAGAATTATTCTCTTACAGTTCTGGAGATCAGAAGTCTAAAATCAAAATAGCAGGGCTGCATTCCTTCTGAGGCTTTGAGGGGAAAATCTAATTCCTTGCTGATTTCAGCTTCTAGAGGCTGTCTGCCTGATGTGTAAATTTTAATATAGATTTCAATATGATATCAAACACATGATATGCATTAACATTCTAGAGAGCTATGTAATTGACTCAAGAGGAGAATTTACCATAAGGCAGGGGTAATTTGATTTTCTGTTGCAGCCAGCATTTCAGTATGTCTGGAAGC